AGTGGATGACAATAAACCATAATATTCTCAGTGGTAGAGTGGAAACTAGGAGTTGTCGTTCTCGTCTCTATGAGGACAATACCCGGTAGGGGGGGTCTCTACGATCGAAGAGCGATATCAGATCTGTGCGTACACGGTTGAAGGCAAGTTGGGTTTGTGTGTGAGCATTACCATAGAGAGGAGACGTGTGTGAGAGGGGAGAGAAACAACTTCTTTTCTACTCTTTTTATCCTTACCTCATCCCCAATTTCTTGCGTGCGGACCGAAAGGCGGCTGCTCCAAATGGAAATAACACCACGAAAAAAGCAAAAAAGAAACAGGCGGCTCTCTTTTTTTTGTTCAGCCCATTTCGCACCCATTCATATTGTGGTCGCCCCCCCCTTCCGTATACATCCAATGTCTCGTTCATTTTTGGTCTTCTGACTTAGAACAATATTCTACATTCAAATAATAAGGTTTGGAAGCATGAGTCCGTCATGATGTGTGAAACCACAAGAGAAACAGAAAAAGAAAAAAAAAAAAAAAACAGGATATTTTAAGGCTTTTTTATAGCGCGGGGGGGGGGGGGGCTTCGAAGATCCGAGCGTGCTCCCGTTTGCGTTCAGCTCAAGCTGTGGAGGTGTCTGATTCCAGATGGGCCCGTGAGCTTTTCCTCGGCCTGTGGTGGTTGTTTGTCTCCGCCGAGCATGTCGAGGGTTAAAACTCCTTAAAGCGTCTCACGCGTGATGCAGAATCGCTGGTCTCCATTTCGCACTCTCAGCCTGCAACGTGCATCCGTGAGAGCGAGTACTCGTGCACAGATACTTGGACACTGATACACTGAAGTAATACTTTTATCAGTAATGGCAGAGGGAGTAGTCAGAACTTCGGTAAAAGCAGCAGTGACCAAAGGCAGAAAAACAAGGTACTAAACTAGTACTAATAGCAACTCAAGCTATTAGTGTCAATATATATTTAGTGTACCAACAATAACAAGACTCATTGCGCAGAATGGCCCATTTGAAAATAATGTATCAAATATTATATTATTACTCGTATGTTATCAGCCACATAGGAGTGGGTAAAGGTGGGAATACTTTTATAGTACATATACTAGTACAAATACTATGTACCAGTCTTTTTTGCGTTAAATGTTACGTTATCTACAAGAGAAGGGATGGTCAGTTTTCATTGAGTTATGGAACATAAAGGAATTACACCTATTTATTGATGAACAGAGTTAATGCTCATCTCAGCCTTCAAAAAGCTCCTTCCTTTGTCAAAGAGCTCAAACAGTTTCACCACTTGATGTGTTCTTCATTTGGTGGATTTGATGTATTTTTGACAATTAACTGCAGAAAAAAAGAAACGCCTCAGGGTGGATTTCTAGTCAAAGGGAGGGAAAATTGTGAAATGTGCCAAGAGCTGACAGAGCATCACAATTTTAGTCATTATTACTTCTAATGTGACAATTCCACAAGGCTGAACATGAAAACATGTATGAATATGTATTCAGCAGTAATGATATGAACTATTGCAGTTAATACACAACTAAAACTCTCAACACACTCGTGCTCTGAAACCGCAGCAGAGAAGAGGAGCAGACACTTCGGTCCAGTGTGAAGACGCTCGGCTTCATCGAGTCAGAGGGAGAAGTAAATAAACACGGAGTGAGACGGGGGTGACGCCGTGGATTCCTCAGGACGCGGAGAAAAAAAAAACTCCATTTGATTTATCAGCTCTCCCGTAATAAGGCCTTGATGCCGCAGAAAAGCGTCCTGCAAAACAAGGGCACGCTGCAAACAAAGGGCCGATCGCCAATAGAAGGACGTGGATGCGTTAGTAAGAACCAGGATGTCCGCAGACCTCAAGACGTCTCGAAAGCCTTTAATCCAGGTCCTTAGAAGTTTTGCCTGCTGTTGACAGTAATATTGTTCTATTTCTTTATTTGTGTCAGAAGAGACTGGTGCAAAAGTTTAATCGGTTCTGTGATTTTTTGCAACTTATCAGGGTTCAGGTCACATGAATTAAGGTTGGAAGGAAATATATATCTATTTGTATATGGCGAAACTAAAAAAATGAATGAGTTATTTAAATATTCACTTATCACTTAAACAATAAGTAAGTTAATACATATGCATTTATAATAAACTTTGCAGGCAATAAATGCCAGTTGAGGTGAATCTTTTTACCCCTTTTCAAAACTGAAACCCTTGTTATCAGTTTTTGTAACATTTCACTAGTGCAATAATCATTTATAGAGCCTTTCATTAGATTTTCTTGAAAGTGGACTTTTCCTTTTTGATCAGTGATTTTTTTTCTTCTTTGCTGCATCAATAATCAGACCAATGTGTCATTAACATAAGATCTGTTTGCTCCCTTTGATCCGGGCGTATTGCAGCACAGAATGTGTTAATTAGATAAAGTGTGTCAATGCAAATGTATTCCTGCGTTTCCCAAGTGTGTGTGTGTGTGTATTTATCTTCACAGAGTAGATGATTGCACGCTTGGTATACACGCATGTTCTTTGGCGCTGCTGAACCAGGAAACATGCAACGTGCTGCAAGCTTTCCAAAGTCTGCTGGATTAATCAGCTGCTTTCAGATGCAGATGTGGCTTTGGAGTGCACGAATTAACAGCCTTCTTTCCCTCCTCGTCCTGAGCATGATTTCTGTTACTGACACACCGCATGGCGAGCTGCTTTAATGCTTTCAGGGCCGTCGGGTTGGTGTGGTGATGTTGTGCGTGAACGGTTCCCATCACGGACGCGGATGTTCACGAGCATTTTCATGTATATTCACGTCCTCCTCTTTTTTTTAAATTCCTTTCTTCGTTGTTGTTTATTTTGTGTGCGTGCGGTTTTTTTTCCGCGACTTCCTCCTTCCTCCCGCCTCCTGCTTTCAATCCTCCTCTCCTCTTATGTTGATGAGATACGGTGATTTCTCTTAGGGGAGGCGTCAGTCCATCCTAGTGCAGCCCCGTCTCGCGCCCGTCCCACCGCGAGTAACCAGGTAATAAACCACCCGGCCAACTCTCACCCTCCATCCATAACCCGCTGCTTCCTCTCTCCCCTTCTGCTGTTCTCCATGTGCGTCCCTGTCCATGCGCATAGCATCCTGTGACCTCACCGCCGGGCCCACTCCAACTGTCGGGCAGCGTGTTTGGGGCAGAGGTCCCCCGGAGGGCCCTGACCCGCGTTGAGAGGGTGACAGCGGAACATTTCAGAGAGATTCGGGGGCTGCGCTGAGAAACTGGGAGCGGCGCCAAAGATAACAGAATGTGCGGGAGGGGCCGGGGGTATAAATCCAAAGCGGCGTTCTGGCTTCAGTAAAAAACAAAGCCAAAGGGTCTGTGCCAATGAGCCGAAGACAAAGTGAGGCAAATCAAGACGCTAAATTCTATACTAACGCTCTATTATTTAGTAAAAGACGCTTTGTTAGTGAACTAGTAGGCGATACAACAACAGCGTTGATATCCCACAATGCAATGGGGCTGCGAAGAGAACTTTTGTATCAGAAAACGGCGAACACGGCTGTCAATAATGCTCCGGTTTCAGAATCATTATTCCCTTTGCCTTATAGATTAACATTAGCTTTCTACTTCTGCCGATTGCATTCACACTTCAAAATCTTAAAGGCGGTGTTCGTTTGTGGGGTTAGTGTGTTATTGTTGGATAAGATAAAGACGGACTCGCGGCGGCTCCATCGAGGGCTTGTAAAGGTAACGCTGTGAGGGCACAATGTTACGGGACTCACACAGCGTGACTCTATAGCTCGATTCGCCGTGACACTGCTGGGCGAGTCGTCAGAGCAAAAAGCATTTAAAAAATGTTTTTCATGTATATTGTACATTTTTCATCAATGCAATGCAGTGTGATTAATGCTAATTGGCATTGTGTGAAGTAGGCTTAAGCGATCTTTTCTTTGTTTATTCATCTGTTCTGGTTTTGTTGTCACCCTCCAAACACTATAACATGCCTTCTTTTTGTTTCTTTGAATTACTTCAGATTAGTTAGGTTGCTTTTTTTTCATTTGACTTTCAATGAGCTTTGGCAGAAATATATACATATAAGTCCTTCAGCCCCTTTCAGAATGCTAAACATCAAATGTGTTGTGTGTGACAATTCAGTCAGAACCGACAATCCGCCGACAGACGTGACGGCGTTTGCGAATGATTTTCATGTCATATACGGAGACGCTCCGATAACTCTTTAAATTGGGTAAATAATGGAAGTGCAGAGAAATAGGAAATAATCAATAAACGCCACTGAATCCTTTGCAGATGTTCAATTAAAATTTTCATCACATTTAATAGTCACGTTTTTTTTTTTTCACTCGTGCTCAACTTACTAACTTACAAAACATTAAGCATCAGTTATAATGAATGAAGACATTACTAATTAATAAATGATAAATAAACCGATACGATAAATTGTTTTTAAACCCTTTTCAATGCAAACGTCTTCTTTTTTTTAAAGAAGAAAAATCAGAATTTAAAGGAAACACACAATTAGATGTTTGTGGCTGAGTAGACAATGTTAGAAATAAGACATGGAATGATAGTTCCCTGGTGAAATACCTGCCTGAGAGTTTGGGGGTGCTCTGTTATTGCTTTTTTTTCTCTCCTCACACACACAACAACATATTTTTAAACCGCTGTGCTTTGAATTTACATTTCCATTCAGTTCTCCATCCCTCCCATCCCAGCACGCTCTCAGATAAGCAACATGAATTATGGGAAATCTCCGTATCTGACCCCGTCCTTCCCTGAGGAACACTGATTAATGTGCACCTGTTTTTGTTTAGTTTTCTATGTGTTTTTCGTGTGATTCTCGTATTTGCGTCTTTGTCTGTGTGCACATTTCCTGGTTGGATGCTGGCGTCGGCCAGATGTTACGGTGCGTGAACGGTGAAGCGCGTTGCTTGTTCTGCGTCACAGCCAGAGCTCTCCACCTTCTTTCTTTAGACCTAAACTAATGTAAGCCGATTAAAGCAACGCTCGGGGAACAATTTCACCGCTTGCTCTGTAAAAAGCCACGATTCAAATTGATTGGAGATTGGAGGAGACGGGTAAGAACCTGTGTGTCCGATACCTGCGTCATTACTACACACCCAACATCTCAGTCCTCCACTAAGTGTTTTGTGTTTCTGTCCCCAGTACCCCTAAATATTCATTAACATCATAAGAAATAAAACAAAAACCACTCTCGCACCAAGCGGTAATCAAACAGCCCACAGAGAGGGAAGCAAGCTCGGTAAGTTTAAAAAGGATGTCAGTAAACGTTACTTTCCATGTCTTTGTTCGGCTGCTTGAGTTCGTGTGCATCGGTCAACGCGTGGAGATCGAACCACGCTGTCGCTCGTGTTCTAGAGTAATGAAACTAGTTGTTACTGGCATCCCGTAGCTGTCTGCGCTCCAGCAAGCGGCTGGAAGGGTTTTCTCTCATGTGGGTTCTGATTGAGAAGAGAAAAGGCCCTTTAATTCACATCAAATGTTGGGCTTTTTGTTCTTTTTTTTTTTTTTGTTCTTCTTTTCACTTTTTGTTTTTATTTTTCAAAGGGAAATGGAAACACCTTCCACTCGACACACAGCTTTACCCAGTGATTATATTGCTTTTTGGATCCTTTCGATTTATTTTCTCAACTGGATGCAGACCAAACGATCCCTCCTACTTCCTGTCTCTCCCCTCTACAGCACACCATCCCATCCATGTTACAGTATCTCATATAGATGACTCTGTCCAGACCCCACACAGCGAAATGCGCCGGGGCATCAATTAAGTGCAGTTATTTCAAGGGGCTCCATCCGAGGTCTGCTTTCTAAACGCTTCGATATTCAAATGATCGTTAAGCACCATTTAGAACAAGGTCCTCTTGCTTGTTTTAACCCGATTGTTTTCTCCTCCCACTGCTCCGGACTGGGAGTGACGGCTTGCAAACACGCCTGGATACAAACGGACAATGAAAGTAGTCTTGCATTGCTGTTATTCTGCACCAAAGAGGGCAAAACCAAAGCTTTGATTCAATCGCCAATCAAAAGATCCAACCCGGGAGGACAGGCCATGCAGCAGCTCATGACTGAGCCGTCAATGGCTTTGGCTTTTGATTGGTGAATTTGACAAGTTTGGATTTTCCTGGCAGGCAACCAGACGCGCCTTCAGCTTTTTTAATTCAGAGCTGGGCTGTTTTATTGGCTTGACTCTTTTATTTTTTGCATGTTTTTAGAAGCGGGATGATGCTCTTAAGATGTTTATAGAAGCAATAAGTGTAGAGTTATTTCTTAGGCTGTAAATTAAACCACTTTCACTTCCTCAAGCCCGCACGTGGACATAGAAACTCTAGAGACTCTTTTCGTGACACCCGATAAACGCCCTCCTCGCTACTCATCCAAAGAGGATCAGGACCATTTGACCGCGAGGATTGAATTTCCCCATCATGCCCTCTTTCCCTGTGTCCCTGTGCTGCCATTCCTATTGGTGTTCTTCACGCATCGACTTCGTAACTCATTTGTCTCTCTCTCTCTCTCTTTTCTGTCTGTCTCTCTCTTTCTGTGCGCTCCTTCCAATTCTTCCTCGTTTGTCTGTTATTTATTTGTCTCCTCACTTTGCTTCTGCCATCGCTTTTTACATGAACTCATTCCAACCGGTTCTTTGTCAATGTTTGATGTTTACTCACCACTCGATCGCCTTCCTTCTCTGGTGATTTCCCTCCTTTTGTCCTCCCCCATCTTTATCTCACTCCCTCCAACACACACACACACACACACACACACACACACACACACACACACACACACACACTTCTTCAACGTGTGGTTTTTATTCCCTCTACATGTCACGTTATCTGCCTTGATTGGACATCTCCTTTACAACTCCTCACCTCGCTCCCATCGCTCATTGAATGGCCTCTCTCCTACGACCATCTCTCCCTGCTCCCACTCCTCTTCCCCCTCCCCTCTCTCTCTATTTCGCCAGGAGGACCAGCATTCCTCCCTGGGTCCTGCAGACCCCGGTGTGAAAACCGAAGGTGGAGGGGGAGGTGGTGGAGGAGGAGGAGGAGCGGTAACCGACGATCAAGGCCTCAGAGTTCCTTCCTCGGGCGTTTCCCCCGACAGCTCGCCCCGCAATGGAGTCCTCCCCCAAACTGTAGACCCTCCCTCTCTACCCGCTGCTCGTCAACGTCCTAGTCAGAATGGAGAGCTCCGTGGCAACCCCAAACATCCTCCCCCGTGACAACCCCACAAGCAACCGGAACCACGGCAACGGCAACCACAGGCGTAGCAGAGAGAAGGGGGGGAGTAGGTCAAACACAACGTCAGAGAGAGCGAGACGACTCAAAGGAAAACACGGTCCCCGTCTTTCCGTCTTAGCGAGACAATGCTCTGAAAAAGATGTTTTGCTGTAGATGTTCCCGTTCCCCGGGCAAGAGAGAGAGAAGAAAAAGCGTGCGGGGGACAAGTAGTGATCACACGGCCCGCCACGCACAGTGCATAACACACGAAACACACAACACAAAGGGCTCTCCGACGGACACTCGCTGCTCACGTGGAGCTTCACTCACGCCTTGAATCAGTGCGAAACCAAGCGGGCGGCGCACGCGCCGAAATGTGAACACCTGCTCTGTGCGCTCGTGGCCTTTCTGTGGCTTAACCATGAGTAAAAACGCGTAGGCAGCGAGCGCTATGTAGTGGCCATTAGCATTAGTGCTAAGCGCTAGCTCGCAGCGGTCCTTGACTCCCATGGATGTAGGTGCATTCAATATACCGAACCCGAACACGCCAGGCTGCAGCTTGTCTAGGTGGAGATGTGGTGGTGTAGTCTGGCTTTCTTAGTGCCTTTGAGTGTTTTTCAACAGGGTTTTCCTATAGAGATCAGATACAAAGTTAGCGTTGCTAGTTGGACGAATGACCCGTGGGCTGCAGACAGAGATTCAAAGACACGCGATCAAGCGCCGTAGAGGTTTGATATGACGGAAGACATTTTTGGGAACTTTTTCCTTCCTGTTTTTTTTTTTGTTTTTTTTCAACCAAAGGGACTTCTTCGCTTTTGGACGGCGCTCGTGCAATCTTTTCTCTTCTCAATCCCAGAACCGAGCTGTGATAAAAACTGGTGCTAAACAGAAACAAAAGGTGCCATTTTTCAAGTTAAATGTCCGTGTCTGCCATAGCACTGCCTCATTGTTCACTCACTGTCCTCTCTCTCTCTCTCCCTCTCTCCCTTTCTCTCCCTCCATCCTGCACTTTGACAGGACTCTTGTTCCCCCCCCAGTTTGTTTCCTATGTGTCTTTGTCCTTTGTGCATCCCGTTGTGTTCTTGTGTCCAGCAGGCTCGTTGGGGTTTCCATGTCTCCTCCCAGTCCTCCAATCTCTGGTTTTATTAACAGTCGATCAGAAACAGGCTCCTTAACTTGACGACTCGATGGATCATCTATTGAAGCGGTTATTTCACTTTTGTGCCAAATAAACCCCAAAGTGCTCGATTCGTCTTTAACAGAGAACTAACAGCTTTAACATTGAGTGAAGATACTTTGAGTTAAATGGATGGAGTTTTTTTATAGCTGGAAGATAAATGGTGAAATTATTTTACTTTTCATTCAGATTTTTTTATTTATTTTCAAAGCAGTTTTATCTTAGTATTTTAACCAAAACTAATGCTGCAGGTGCATACGAATGCTAACGACAGATGTTTGATTTCCCTTTTGTGTTTTGAGTCTAACTTTACTACAGTAAACATTGCCAGTGTGACACAAACATCTTAGATCATGTTTCAACTGCTTAGGTTTTGCCATTAAGTGCCTGGGATCAAGATAATTGAGCATCCTGTGGCCTGTGGACTAGCCAGTCACCGACCAAACGCACATTTTAATGCCTTGCTTGATACAATAAGAATTTCACTTAAAAGCTTAAAAAACTGAAGTGCTCATAATTCAAAGTTTTCAAAATGAAAAAAGCCTGACATGTCGTCCTAAAATAGCATCAAACCGATTAAACCGATACAATTACGGAATATGAATACAAATGTGACGTGTTTCTGAGGTGAACTCTTCAGTTTCTCATTTGTCAAATGCTGAAAACGTGTAATGTTTGTAACGTGTTTCCATATTCGCTCATCCTGTGTGTGACCCGTCTGTCGTAAGGTTTGTCTGGACGGGGACTCGTTGAGCCCCACACATGTCGAGCAGGAGGAGTTGAAGCGTTTCACATCAGTCGTTTTTCTATTGGGTCAACCGCTTACTCCACAGTGTCAAAGGTCAACGTGGCCAACGCGAGTGATTATTAGTGCCGTGGGATTCGCTTCCAGCTGTACAATCCATGAATGTTTAACTGTTGAACTGCCAAATGTTAACTCTGGAGCGCCAGTCTTACGCAGGGAAAGATTGTCTTCTATTTGGGCAGCTTGTAGGGCTACTTTTTCCTCCTGAAAGGACTTGTTAAAGAATGTTAGAACCGGAAAGCGATCTAGGTTTGAACGCCGGTGTCTTCTCAGAGACCTTATGAGATGATTCCTGATTGAGAAAATTAACATTCCTGTGAAAATACCTCAGTGACTCAGGTAAACAAGCGGTTGACTCAGATCTGAACACACACACAATATACATAAATATAAATATATATATAGATATAAGACGAGAGTCCAGCTTCGGAAGGTCCGCCACCAATGCAGGTACTCGGTCTCCAGCCATGCTTCAATCGCACCTGATCAAGCACCCTCCCCCGTTTCTTCTCTCTCTCTGTCTCCCCTTTGTTTTCTCCCCCTTATAGCCACTCTCAAAGCTTCATGGAGGACAATGTGGAACGTAATTGGCTGATGCACCATCGGCAGTCCGCGGGGTGGCGCGGCCAAATGTCCAGAGCCCTCTCTCGTGACGCGATTGGCTGACAAAGGGAGAACTTGGGCCTTTGGTCCCAGTCCCTTTGCTCAAAGGAGGGTGCAGAGCCCCAGCGGACCATGTAAGGAAATGCGGGGTTGTGTCTTCTTTTTCTTTTTATCACTTTTTTTTTACTTAACTTGGGCTCTCTCTCTCTCTCTGATTTGAGTTTTTTTTTTTTTGGTTATGTGTTTGGCGCCTCCTTGTTGGATCTACATTTTACTTTTAAAAAGGTAGGCTGGACACATAACAGCATGCAAAGAACAGCTATGCAGTCTGATCCGCAGAACGGAGGGACGCAAAAGGCCGAGGGAGGCGAGATGCCTGATATGAGAGAGGGGGGAGGTTTATTGTGGGTAAGATGAATTTCAAAGGTGCTTGACTTCTCTTAAAATGTCAGTCAAAGCTGATTTACTTTTAGGGCATTTATTTCTCTTCTTCCCTCTTTCCTTACTCTCTCTCTCTTATAGTCTTTTTAAATTACCCTTCGATTCCTCTTCATCTACTCAATCTGTATCTATCTAGGATTCTCAGAGCATTATTTAACCTCTTCATTTTTACTCAGACAAACGTGATCTCTTTCTCGTTTCATAGTTCTAGTCCTTCCGTTTGAATCTCTTTGGGACTTTGATTTTAAAGGAAACCTAAATATGCACAGCCTATAACAACAAGTGAAACTGCTTCAGAAACAAAACTCTTGCTTCAGTCAAGACTTTGAAAAACCTGACCGAATGTTATCATTTATATTTCTATGATACTGCTTATTCTTACAATAGTATTAAACAAGAAAACTCTTCATCAGAAATCTTCCCGGAGCAGATATTTATTTCTTGATATAGATAGATGCCTCTATCTAATGGAAGTTCATCAATAATCCATTTTATATGAACCCAGTTTTCTTACTGCGACAATCTTGTGGAGAGAATCATTGCCCTGAAGGACTGTGACGGAAGGGACAAACTTGTGTTTTACCTACTCCCCTTACAGCAGTTTGCACGTCGCTGTGACCTTTGACCCCCCCCCCCTTACCCCTTCCTCTTGGTTATAATCATTCAAAACAAACAAAAAAGAGAAAAAAGTGGGCCGATGTTTCTCGCCCAGCGGTCGCCATGGAGCTCTCCTTTTGACGGACGGCGTGAAGGTCTTTGGACGGGGACTTCGTTTTGTACTCCACTCTTCAGCGGCTCCGCTGGAATTTCCACCGAGCGGCGGATGAACTCTTGGTTTCAGTCTTTTTTGCTGTAAAACTCCCCATTCACTCGGATGGATGGGACCCCCCCCCCCTCACTGACACGGTCGAGATCCCCGGCGTTTCTTGACAACGACGCAGAGAGAGATATGTTAGAGGTCCTGCTGAAAACGAGCGAATGTGTTTGTACATAAGTGCGTGTCCCGGCTATACCTTTGTGTACATACTGGATAAATGTGTATATATGGTACGTCTACGTGTATATACAGCTTGTTTGTACATGCAGAGTGTACAGTTATTTTTCCTCTAATGTTTCTCTCTCTTTCTATGAATAGGTCTTCTCAAGTTACCAATACTGAGGCGGGGAAAGGTTTTTAATCGTTCTGAGCTGACAGAGGCACTTTGTGTTCGGCCTGAGAATATCAGCCAGGTCCGTCACTTCTAGCCGCGTTCTTGGAGCTCCCATACAGGAAGTAACTCGCGTAATCTTAAGCTTGCACTCATTTTCTGACCAACGAAAGCTTTTCTAAGTGGATTTGGGTGACCGAGCAAATGTTTGTACATATTTAGACTAAGACGATTCGTTTCCAAACACCACCATCTGCATTTCTTTTTAAACTTCTCAACCTGTCTTGAGTTCTGCGTATCGGACTTCTCACCTTAGGTTCCTATGGTATATGTTTGCAACGGTTGTCCTTCAGAGTTATATATTTATTCCGACAACCCTTATATATTTCTTGAAATTCTTGTTCCCCAAATTCTGCCTCTCATGGAGCCTTCTGACCTTTTTTTTAAGATGCGTTCAGACTGGCAAACCCTTCCATGAAAGTACACCGACGTTACTTCACCCTGCTTGTTTTTGTATAGGTCCTTACTAAATAAGCGTGCCTCCCACTCTTACTAACCTTAGATCCATTAACTTCTCTGGTCCCTCATCTTCATACCCCTTGACAAGCCATAGCCCCCCCCCACCCCCCCAAACTCCTCTACCGTTGTTTTGACAGGACAGACATTTGGGGATTTTGTGTATATTAATGGAAGAGTGGTGTTGACGAGTGTATTGCAGTCGTATATGGAGTTCTAATGAATGTGGATATTCTGATCATTGAATTATTATTGTAATAATGATAATAATTATTGCCACTATGATTTCGTTGATTAATTCCTTTGATGAAGATGCCATTGTTCCCTTCTTTTCATTTTTTCATTTTGTTTTGGAATACACCGGAATTTATATTTTTCGGGTGGGTGAATCTGGAGGTAGAAATACGTAAATAAATAAATAAACAAATAATTAAATTCTTAATCTGCTGTGGAAATGTGTGTTTTGTTTCTTAATACACTAACTTGGACTTCTCTCCCTTTTGTAAAAGTTTCCGACCATGTCAGATTAAAGCTGGTCCAAATCATTTACTATTACTAAACTATTGTTTTCTCAAAACTATTAAAAAAACATACATGCATGTACCTTCATCCCTGTGAATATGGATGCTGCAGCTTATCTTAAAACTACCCCAAATTCACATTCATAGCACACTGATTAAAACAGTCAACCCTTTGCACGACCTCCTCTCCTTTTGAGTAACGTCTAACAATTATCTGCCAATTATGCACCAACTTGAATTCCAACATAGTCCATATCGAAGAAACAATGCACTGTAAGCTCACGGCATGCATCGCCTCATAGACAAGTCCTAAATAAATACCTAATATTTATAAAATATCTATACTTAGTATCTGAATACCAGTGGAAACAAGGGTTAGGTCACTGCTTCTTTCCACTGGCTGCAGTACACATTCTCCTGCCGTATGGACTTGTAAGCTTGTGGTTGCACACGGTGAGAACTCAACTGGGTCAGCTGCATTTTTCCTGCGTCTGAGGACTTTGATTCTTCTCTCGGTGAGCAAAGCAGATCATTTTCCTCACACTCTCCTCAGCTGAGGAGCCGAGAGCGATGACGGCCTGGGACCTGGGGACCGGACCGAATAGAGCGAGCTTGTAATTATCCTCATCCTCCTACATTTAATCGCTCGCAGTTCCTCTGAGAGTTGGCTACTTCTTACTTGGGGCAGAGCAAGAAGAAGAAAAAATGTGCACAATGGAGGAGCAAGACATGCTGTGAAAACAAAAGAGGCATAAGATGAGGGCTCCACCTCAACCTGCTTCAGCCTGGAGCATCATTCTTATATTCATTCTACCAGGTTGCTCTCTGGGGAATATTCATGTCACTCAAAAATTAACAGTAAGGTTTCCATTTTTCATGTTAGTCACATATTTAATGCGAAAAAAAAAGAAAAAAAATCCTCAGCTGGGATAACAATAATTAGTTTCCACGGTCAGGAAAAACACAAAAAAAATGTTCATTTAGAAAGCAAATGTCTATCAAAATTATGTTTATTTTATAAGGACTTAAATAAAATGTTATCTTTATAGACCTCTATTGGTAACCAGGGCAAACTACATCAGAGTTGAGCATGGGTGTAAAACAAATCCATTAAGAAAGCATATAGTTAATAGAAATATGAATCCAAAAAGATGGAGAGAAGGATAAAAAGAAGATTAAAATGTAAAGCGTGTATCGTATTCATAGAATCATATATATAATAGTTCAAAATTGCCACATTACTACAAAGTAAAAATACCACATTTTACCTCAAAATGTACAGAACCAAGTATTATATTGTAAGCTACAAAATACAATATTTATCTCATAATTGCAAATGTATGGAACTGCATAAAATTATATTAACATATTATATATGATGCTGCATTTGTGTTAGGATTATCTTCTCTTATTTTATCTTACCTTATATATTATTATCATTCCCTATTTTGAATAAGTCATGTCATGTGAATTAGCCAAATATGTACCAGTTTCAAAATTATAGTACTATACACGGAAATTCATCCGTAATTATAATTTATATTATAATATTATATATTAATATATATTTAATTAATATTTAATGTTCTAATATGGATATTAGGTAATTCTGCACATTGAGTAGTTCTGTCCCTTCTGTATGTACATTTCGATGACAATCTTGTACTTTCTTCCATGCACAACTTTTAATTATGGAATTTTTGAAGAACACTATTGCTACTTTTACGTAAAATCTCTGACTACACGACACGATACTGGCGAAACCCATTATCTTAAACTTTGTGAACGTGTTTTTCACCATTTCAAGATTGTCGCTAACGGGGGATCTGATGACAGTCTGGCAACCCCTTTCTGTTGAGTTCGTTCCGTACTCTCGCGATACTTGGCGGTCGCTGCCTGATAGGAATAATGGCCGCCTTCTTAGCAATGGCTGGAACGGGGAACAACACAAGAGGCATATCGGTGCGTTATAGCTGACCAGGAAGAGCCTAAATTCCTGGTCACCCCCTCCTACCCGGTTTTCAGAACGAATGGGTAGAGGGGGTCTTGCGAAAGGACACGATACGCGAAAGACACTCGGAGGAAAAGCGAGGAAAGCTAACGTTACCTTGATAGCTAACGCTAGCTGGCTATCAACACGGTTGTCACTGCCGGGGGAACAAACCCGAGTAGCCCTGACAACTGCGTGTCGGAGGGGTCAGAGGAAGCGGCCAGCAAACGCCGGAGCGTGTGATCAAATAACCCGCGAGTCGCCACAATGAGTGGACCGGTACAGGACAGTGAGCCAGAGGCGAAAGTCCTTCTCATCAAGCGGCTTTACAGGTAAGTTTGCGAGGCCGTTTTGCGTAGCTAACGCTAACCAAGGTGCTAATTGGACGTGATTGCGCTGGCCAACTTAGCGCTAGCCAATTAACGTTTGCTACCACACGAAAATCTCCATCTATCCGTCCACTCGGCGACCTGTCACGACTACGAGTCGTCCAACGAACCCGCGTACCCAGTCAGCGTAGCATCAGGTGGATCTGACCGGTCAGACACCTTGCTTTGTGTAAGCTCGTGCTTTGTAAACAGAGAGGATGGTCGTTTGCGTGATGTCCCACAGTAGTGTTGTTTACGTCGCAGCGTTAACCTCGTCCTCATCTTAACTCGGGGTTCCTGTTTGCCCGAACAGGGCCGTGGTGGAGTCTGTGCACAAGCTCGATGTCATCATCGGCAGCAAAGCATCCTACAGAGAGGTCTTCAAGCCGGAGAACATCAGCCTTCGCAACAAGTAGGTCCAGCTGTCACCACAGCGTGTGTGTGAGTGTGTGAAAGGAGGCAGGTGTGTACCGTGAACATCTGGCCAGCCTCATGTAACCACTTCTCCATTATGCTGTTTGTTCAATTGGGATTGACCGCACAGGGTCACACCAGGCAATCCAAACTGACCTCTTTTGTTTCATTGCAGTCATTCCAGCGAGTGTACACAAACAAGAGTACTTATAGATCAGGATGACAACTGCTTTGACTTGCAGTTCTTGTTATATTTCTGGTTACAATTTACCGAAAAGAGAAAGAGGAAGTGAAAAGTAAACGTGAGAAGGATAGTTAACCGAGTGTCTCCACAGATGGTGTCTTTATTTGCTCAGTGACTCCTTTTTAGGATCTGACCGCTCTTAAAAGTTGGACAGATTTGCGTTTCATTGTGTTCACGGGTTACATATGAAGTCAAAGCAATTGGCTCATTTTAGTCAGTTAGATAATAATAATATAATTATAAAAGAGTGGAACTACTTTAATGATCGGGTAATTGTGTCAGTCGTTTTACAACTTGGGGTTCGGCTCTCGTTAATTTTTAATGGATTTTTTCACTGTTCTCTGACATTTAGTAGAAAAGGCAATTTGTTGATGAAGAATCACCGCTTGTCCTTGCTCAAGTATATTTACATGGTCTTGTCATTGTCGTAGAAAGTGAGATTTCCATATATGAGGACAAATGGTAGACCTGTTCACTCATGTATGTTTCAATAGGTTTCACTATTGATCAATCTGCCGGTTATTGTCTTGAGTAATCGTAAAAAAAAGGGACAAACCCTTGATGTTTTTCTGACCCGCCCAGCCTTACCTGTTCCTTTTTGAAAACTACGTCCACTTGTTGGTCTGCTCGTCAAACCGGTGAGCCAACTACATGTGTGCACTTGTGTATCTGTTTTTTCTTTCTGTGTGTGTGTTTCAGACTGAGGGAGCTTTGTGTGAAGCTGATGTTCCTCCACCCAGTAGACTACGGCCGTAAGGCCGAGGAGCTGCTCTGGAGGAAGGTTTACTATGAGGTCATCCAGGTTATCAAGACCAACAAGAAGGTAAGTGTCCCTGCAGCTGTGGGATCCTACACCCGCTCCCCAAAACGAGTCTTGGTCTGCTACATGGTACAACAAATCTGGTCCTGTCAGAGGGGTTTATGGTTTGCCCGGGTCACACACACCTCTGATTGTATCAGCTGCTCACTTCTTTCTCTTCATCCCGCCTGTAGCACATCCACAGTCGCAGCGCTCTGGAGTGCGCCTACCGCACACACCTGATTGCCGGCGTGGGTTTCTACCAGCACCTGCTGCTGTACATCCAGTCACATTACCAGCTGGAGCTGCAGGACTGCATCGACTGGACCCACGTCACAGACCCGCTGATAGGTGAGATTCCCGAAACAGGGATTCACGCACAGACGGAACAAACCTTACACCAAACGAGGGATGTGTAGCTCGTGTAAATGCTCGTAAATGTGCTGGTTCGTCTTGAAAAGTCATGATGAGTCTCAGCGGGGGGAGCGTAGGTGTGAACAATGCCACACATGGAGGCTGAATTGTATTTGGCTGTGCTGGTTTCAGGGTCTGGGTCGTGTGCGTGCGGGTTTCTGGAGCACTAGAGTAGAAGAGCGCCCTCATTTACCTTTTGCTTTTCTTCATACATCCGCTAGGCTGCACAATGCGTGGTGGCTGCCTTGCTCAACGGCTGCTGCCAGCCCGTCTTTTTACATAGTTTTCCTTCCATAATCGGCAGTTTGTAACTAATGATATTAATCCCCAACTAAAAGCCGTAACTGCTCCATTAGATTATCGGAGACAGGCAAGTCACCGCATTTTCCACAACACTGTTCTGCAAATACTTTAGAATAAGAGCCTTGTGTTCAGTAATGAAAGATTTTTGTCCATATAAAGATGCCCGGGTGCTTTTATTTTGAAACCCAAACAAGAACCGTATCAGCGGCATGCATCCAAACTGCAGTACTGGTGCTGGTTTGATGTCATTATATCATCCGATGATTTTACTGGTTTGGTTTTAGTTTTGGATGCAGTGACAAATTACCCCAATCCATTGACTCATAACTTTTTTTGCAGCAGTCAGATTAGCTTTTGTCATGAAATGGTGTCAAATCCCATTCAGCCAGTTTAATGAGTGTTTTGTAATTTGCATTACTCCGACAGCAATCCAGTCCTCCAGCACGAAGCTAACCTTTTCCTTATTGAGGCACAAACATTTTCCCGGCCCCCTGAAACAAAACCCCCTGTGGACATTACCCCTCAGGGACGGGGAAGTAACACCTGGTTGTTGTTTCTAATAGTCGGACTCCGCTCTTTGCAAATTGCTGCAGTGCTGTGATTGAATCTTGTTCTTTCGTTACCCAAAATGACTTGGAGTTATGTAAGTGCATTAGCTAAACGCTTGAAATGAAGAAACGTTGTGTGATTGTTCCCCAAAGGCCGAAAGAAACCAGTGTCGGCCACCCCCAAGGAGATGGAGTGGGCACAGATGGCCTGTCATCGCTGTCTGGTCTACCTTGGAGATCTAGGTAATAAAGTGTTAATGGAATGTGCAATAGTTTCATCCCTCTACCCAGCTTGCAGATTCGTAAGACAGCATGTGTGTGTCATTCAGCGTGGGAAAATTTGGCTTAGCTATTGAGTACATTTGGCAGTGAGCTGTTCTCGCTGGTTGAGATATTTGGGTTGATTTTCCATTAAAAACAGAAATGATCACGCAAAGGAAATAATGTCTGCTGCACTTCCAGTTTGCCTTTTGATAGATTAAAGATGAATCGGTTGCCATTTTCCAATTCAGCCAAAGTCTATCTTGTTGTTGACATTTATTGTTACCCTTTCTTTTAAACGTTCCCTCTGCAGCCCGTTATCAGAATGAACTTGCTGGAGTGGAGGCCGAGCAGCTGGCAGAAAGGTTCTATCACCAGGCGCTGTCTGTCATGCCACATGTTGGTGAGTGAGTGTAACGGGATTTATTCTGGTAAAGTTGCGTGTTTCTTCGTGCAGCTGTGTGTCTGCATCGGATACAGAATAATAACAAAAACATGAAACCCGTCTACAGGAATGCCGTTTAACCAACTGGGCACACTCGCAGGGAGCAAGTCCTACAATGTTGAAGCAACCTACTACTACCTTCGCTGGTGAGGAACGTTTCTGTACAGTTGTTGTGTTCGATATCGACTGAAGCGCAACGCGATGCTTTCGGGTCTTAACCTTTTTTTTTTTGTTTGTCTGTTCTAGCATCCAATCAGAAGCCCCCTTTGAGGGCGCCTACGGCAACCTGAAGCGCCTGTTTGACAAAGCTGCCAAGATGTACCAGCAGGTGAAGAAGCAGGAAATGAAGAAGCTTTCTCCCTCTCGACAGAGGTGAGTCCAAAGAGACGCACGTCTCCAAAATCCCCCGAGGCCTCGTGAGCCTCCTCGGTACAACCGTGGTTAATAATGTTCTTTTATTACTTGTCTGGGTAAAGAAATCTGTCTGAAAGAAGATTATTTGTATTTCACTGCTCCAATGTCCCCGTGTAACTTTTAATCAAGTCCCAATTCACATCTGGGGTTAATTAACGATTTGCTTTCATCATCTCCCTGCAGATGTGATTAGATAATTGATGGTCCCTGTTGGGGGAAGCGATGATGATGAAGCAATAAATCTATAAGAAATCAGTCGAAACGAAAGATAGAAATGCACACGAGTGAAGCTTGTAAGATCGACGCTTTAAGAGAGAACACCTGGTGTGTAGGCGGAAGAACAATTGGAAAGCACAGATATAGGTCAAGTCGTGTTGCTGTTAACTACGGTAACTGTGAATGGAGCAACTGAGATTAAGTTCATAAAATAATCTAAATATCGGTAAATTTGTTGTGCAGATTAAAAGACATTAAGCACCTCCTGGTGAGCTTCATGTACCTTCAGAGCCTGCTGCAGCCCAAGAACAGGTGAGTGTTTGTGCCGTCACTCAACACGTCGGTACACAGCTGAAACAAGTCCTTTTGTTTACCGTGTATGTAGTCATGAGCCATTATAAGTCTGTTAAGACTGAACATTGTTATATATGTTTAACTACTGTAAAATGTCAAATCTTTAGTATCTCAGATCAAAGAAATCGCCTCAGTGTAATAATCCTCGCATTATTTATTGTCGGCGTCCTTTTTTACCATCTTCTGCTCCTTTGTCTCCCTGCAGTCTGATGGAGACGGAGCTGACGTCCCTTTGCCAGTCGGTGCTGGAGGACTTCAACCTGGTGATGTTCTACCTGCCGCCGCCAACGCACGGCGCCGCTCACCAGTGCCCCAGCGAGGAAGAGGACGAGCAGCAGCCGCAGCACGCCGACAGCTCGTGCCCCGTGCTGCCGGACACGCTGGTCTTCAAGATGGTGGTCACCTGCCTGATGGTGGTGCACAGCCTGAAGAGGGGAGGTTAGTGGCAGTGCGGTGCATTCATCTTTTTGTGATTACATGAAATACATTCTAAATAACTATTATCACAGAGAAGGCCGCCAACATGAACGTTTAAGTCTGGTTATTATTTATTGTCCTGTGAGGCGAGATTTGTTTTGCAGAAAATAAATGCGAAAACACAACCACGACACCATTGAAATGAAAAAATAGCAAATATGCCAGTTTGCATGAAAGGTGTGTCAGCAGAGTCAGTTTTTCTTTGAATGTCACTTCCAAAGCCACATTTCTGTTTTTAGTACCATCTACAATGCGGCTTGAAGTAGACGTGATGTGGTGACACAAACCATCCCAATTTTCCATCTTCCACCTTTCCACCTCTTGTTTGTTGCCTATTATAAAATAATCTGAGTGATGGATTTACTCCCCAACAAAAATTCAGACCCCAACTTGAAATTTAAAGAAATGCATACATCTGCAGAGAGTTAAAGCCATACATAAGTAATAACTAGTAACAGATTGTATTGCCCCAAATGCCGCCAAAGATAACGAGATCTTCGACATGAACAACTTTCGTTTTACACTTCAAGTCACAAAGTGCACATTTTGAAATGTGAATGATTCTTATTTTTGTGTGTGTCTCAGGATCAAAGCAGTACAGTGCGTCCATAGCGTTCACCCTGGCGCTGTTCTCCCATCTGGTGAACCATGTCAACATCCGACTGCAGGCTGAGCTGGAGGAAGCGGAGAGCCAGGTGCCTCGGCTTCACACTGACGTCACAGGTGAGGGAAGAAGAAAGAGAACGGAACACAAATGCAGCTTTACGCGTCGTCGTCGCGGATAAAAGCGCCAATCCCAGTGTAGTCTCCCAAGCGGCGTTCTTTGGGATCACAGAGCTGTCAAACCCTTTGGGTCGAGAGCAATTTAAAGTCCCTTGTGACCAACTACCTCTCTCCTCTAGATGACCCCGAGGTGAGGGACGCGTCGGCTGCACCGGCGGATCGCTCCGCCGAGAAGCCTCTGCAGAACGGCTCTCTGGAGCGAGAGGACGAGGAGGAGCGGAAGGACGACGCCAAGAAGCAATGCAGTGCGGAGGAACGGCGCCGGTTGGAAGAGGAGAAGCAGAGGCAGAAGAAGAAGTACACCCGCCTCTCCCGCCTGCGCCGGCGCCGCTGCGCCCGCAAGGACACCGGAGGGGAGGACGAGAGCGACCTGAGCGAAGGCTTCGAGAGCGAAGAGGAGGAGGACGTCGACGAGAGGAGGGACCACACCGAGTCGACGGGGGCCGCCGACGGGACCCCGGTCAATCCGCCGGCTGTCAGGAAGGAGACTAAGCGAGACCCCCTGGGAGAGGAGGGCAGCTGGGGGACCGGCTCAGAGGAAGAGGAGGAGGAGGAGGAGGAGGAAGAGGAGGAAGGAGGAACCGCGTTTGACGTGGAGACCGACTCGGACATGAACAGCCAGGAGTCCCGCTCGGACCTGGAGGACATCGAAGACGCGGAGAGCTCCGACAACTTGGAGGGTCAGGCGCGGGAGCACCGGGACGACGAGGACCAACCGAAGGGGGAAGTGGGCGAGAGGGACGGCTGCTCGCCGCTGACCACCAACGGGCCGCTCACGCCCAGCGACTCCAGCATCAGCAGCAACCTGCAGGCCATGTCCTCGCAGCTCTTCCAGGCCAAGCGCTGCTTCCGCCTGGCGCCCACCTTCAGCAACATGTTGCTGAGGCCTCAGGCCTCGTCGTCGTCGGGTGTCGCCGCCCCCGCCGAGGCCTCTGCTCCCCCGTCCCAAGAGACGCCCCCTCCTGCTGAGGATTCGCCCCGCGATGCCAACCCCGGTGCTGCCAACGGAACCAACGAAAACGGTGAATTGCTTTCTACCTCCAAGTTGCATGTCACCTCTGCTCCTTTTAGTTTGCTTTTCCCCACACTGTTGCTCAAACCCCTTTTTCCCCTTATTTGTATTAATGAATAAATCCGTCACCTCTTCTAGACTTGGACTCTGATTCGGAAGGCAGCCAGCACAGTGCTCAGTCGGTACACAGCGAGAAAACCCTCTTGGAGAAGCTGGAGATCCTGACCAATCAGGGCTTGATCCAGGTGGTGAAAGTCTTTGTCGATTGGCTGAGGACAAACACAGACATCATCCTCATGTGTGCGCAGGTGAGAGTCGGGCCGAATGTCCCGCTTTGTCTGTGAAACACTGACACTTTAGCAGAGTAATTAACGAAGCGCTTCTCTCTGCAGAGTTCTCAAAGCCTGTGGAACCGACTGTCGGTGTTGCTCAACCTGCTTCCAGATGGCGGCAAGATGCTCGAGGCTGGTGAGTTTAAAGATTGATGCTTTTTTTTTTTTTTTTTTTTTTTTTTTTTACCCCACTGGAACGACAATGCTAAAATTCACACAGTGAAGACGTCACCTAAACGCCTCATTTTAAGGAGCAGTTGGAGCTGCATGTCTTTGCTGTCTCGCAGAGAGGGATTGGTACCACCGTATCTGTATGCCAAATATAAAGATAGAGATAACAGGCGATTAGCTTCTGCTTAACAGGGAAACAGCAAACCTTCCTCTGACTAAGAGGAAAGAAAAATCATGTTAATTAATTATGTTTTATTTAGATTGGCTAATCTACAGCTCCACTGAAGTACAAAAAGAATTCCATGAAGCGACAACGTGTTGATTTTACAAGGTTTAACCTTCAGATATGGAGCTTAACATATGCATTTCTTTGTTAACATTAGACAAAGTTGAGGTAGAGTTTCCCAGACTTTATGCTAAGCTATTCACCTGCTAAAGTAACGATACATCCTTATTATTGTCATGAAATCCTAATACTCAATTACATTGTGCAGTTTGATGTGATACATTTTTAAAGACGTGGTTTCCCATGTAAGTAAATATCTTTTACGTGTCCTTTTTTATCACCGCTGACAGAACTTTTGTCCATATCCCAGTGCTCTTCTTCCACGCCTGCACTGCGTGCACGCACTTAACAAACACGACTCACAGTGAGCTCTCACGCTGACTATTTGATTTTGACCGACAGCTAATTTCCTCATTCCTGTGTGTGTGCGTGCGTGTGTGTGTGTGTGTGCGCGCCGCAGAGCTCGGCCTGAACGCGGAGGTGACGGAGCTGTTGAACGAGTGCGAGCAGCCCGGTCTGGTCCAGAGCCTGCTGCTGCCTGAAGACGTGGCTCTGCGACACCTGCCCGCTCTCAACGTAGCTCACCGCCGCCTCGATTTCACTCACCGCAACTCCTCCCTCAGCTCGCTACAGGAGGTACACGCACGCACGCACACGCCAGCTCACACGCTTTATGTGTGTAAAGAACAGAGAGGCCGTTTTCTCTTGTTATTGTAGGACCAGCGCACATGTTTTTTCAGTTTTCTTTATATTTTATTTGTCGATTGTAGGAAGTTACAAATATCCAAACCGTGTTATCATCTTGACAGCATTTAATAAGTCAAGACGTGCTGAAATATTTTGAGGGTTATTTAGTTGATTGAGATGCTTTTTGTTTATGCAAAAGTATCTTTAAACCATGAGTGTGTTTTTTCTCCTTTATTTAAAATCAGAAGTAGCAGTTCTCAGTCATCTGACAGCTTTGTGTTTCAACAGAAAAATCTTTTCAATTATAGTTTACAAAAATGTACACAAATGAAAACAAAAATAGCATATGAGAGGAAAAAAACTCAGATTTAAGCAAGAGGAGTGGTAGGAATTTGACATGTTCTGATTCTCCCAAATGTTCTCAAATTGAATGTTAAACCTCATAAAAGGAAGGGATTTCTTTTACAAATATTTGTATATTGAAGAAGCTCAGGTGTATCTGTCATCCATTCTGGACACTAAAACGCAAGACTGGCGTGTTCCCTTCATCACAGACGTAACGTAGTGACACGCAATCTTTTATCTTCATACACGGCACAAAACCTTTCCGCTTCTCTCCTCCCCCAGTGTGTCGTGCGAGTGTGTTGCATTCGCAGTTTTGGCCACTTCCTGACGAATCTCCAGGGCAACGTGCTGCACTTCAACCCGGAGGCGGGCATCTTCACCAGCATCAACCAATCCGAACAGGATAATCTGGTGCAGCAGGCCAAGGCCCAGTTCCGGATGGTGAGTGACATCTGAAACACAACGGCGTAAAAGAGCGAGTGGGGGGGGAGGGGGGGCTCATTCAGTCGAGTCTCGTTCATTTGTATTGCATTCCCAAAATGCGGAGAATGATTAAATAATGACCTGTTTGTTTGTTTCTTTTACCTGTGAGCCAAGCGTTAACTCTCCTGTCTCCATCTTCAGGCTGAAGAGGAGGCTCGTCGGAATCGCCTAATGAAGGACATGGCGCAGCTTCGACTGCAGGTTTTTAATCTTATCACTCTTTGCACCAGCAGCGCTGACGCGGCTGTGTGCCGATGCATCCTCAGGGCGCTTTGTAAGAAGGAGGATTATGTAGTTGCCTTTTGTATTGTGTGTGTGAGAGATCCACTTTGTTAATAACAATGTTGCCCGAGAGGAAAATGGTCTGAAGGCCTGTGAACACTGATGGTGGCAGTCAGGTGTCTGTATTATCTTACCATGACTTAACGCCTTACAGTAAAAACACGTGTCCTGCCTTCGGGCCTCTCGCCCTGCAGTTGGAGGTGTCGCAGCTAGAGGGCAGCCTTCAGCAGCCCAAGGCCCAGTCCTCCATGTCTCCCTACCTGGTGCCAGACACAGCCGCTCTGTGCCAGCATCTCCACCTCATCCGGCAGCTGGCCGCCAGCGGCTGCTTCATCATCATCATCCCACGGACCGGTCAGTGCGCTCTCGTGTTGTGTGTTCAAACGAGGTCCATGGTGCCGAGACTGTGTATAAAACGATATCTGAAAGATTATATACCAGGGTTTCTGTAAAAGCATTCTAGGATTCAACTTTCAAAAGACATATAGACTTATAGTTAAAAGATGTATGCGTTTGGGTGGTGTCTGTTTGGAGTCTGTACATTGATGCATGAAACAATACAAATTATCAAAGAAAGATCTTTTTTTAGATCACAGCCATGGATGTGAGTCATTAGATTACATTTCGCTGATGTGACTGTTTACTCCGGTGCTCATTCTGATCTACTTCTCTGTCGTAGTGATCGATGGACTTGACAGGTTGAAGAAGGAAAATGCCGGCGCGAGGGACGGCATCCGCTTCCTGGAGTCTGAGTTTCGCAAAGGCAACAGGTGGGCGCCGCTGCTCGCTTGTCACACACGGACCTCATGTTTACTCCATGAAGCTCTGTTATTTAGGAGGATTATTTCAATGTTCTGTATCACGTCCTCCTGCAGGTACATTCGCTGCCAGAAGGAGTCTGGTCGAGGTTTTGAAAGAGATAAGCTGAAACGTCAGGACATGGAAGCCTGGTAAACCGCGCTCCCCTCGCCTTCATTTCGAAGATCCTCACTCGATGACTCACTTTTTTTCTTTTTTTCTTTCTTCATTTCAAGGCATTTATACAAGATGGTGGACAGCTGTCGTCAGCTTACGGTCTCCCAGAGCAACGGGGACGAAGACACAGCCGGCATGGTGACCATTCTCACCGACCACCAGGTGGAGGAGCTTTGCACTCGGTCAGCAGCGATGAAGGTGAGTCCGCAGCGAACGCTCACGGCGTCGACGTCGTTCGCTCTCCGTCTTTGCCTGGTCGCCTTCCTGTCGACGCTCACGCGGATCCCACAGCCATCTGGCGATTTGGGGGGAGGGGGGGGGGGGGGCGGCGTACAGATGCCGTCGGGCGTTCCAACACACCCTTCTCTTGGAAGCACGCCGACGCCGGTTGTTCGATCGGATTAAATAAACATTGTGACTGCCTGTTCATTTCTTGTCAGTGGGGTTGCGATTTGTGATAACATTTGCATCCCTTATGGCGAGCAGATCGGGTGTTTGGGTGGCCGCTGTAATGGTTTTCACATGTGCACAATATCAGAAAGATATCCAGTGATGCAAAGGCTGCAGTATCAGTCTCACTGTCTTAATTAAGTATCAAAGAAAAGTAACATCGTGCAAGCTTACTTCTGCCGCTGTACCTAATTACTAACGCTGACCGAATGCTTCCCAGCTTAGACTGTTGCTATGGTAATAGATGCCCAAACAAGCATTTGCATGCGTCATTTTTCTTATTTCGTATGCCTCAGACTACACCACAGTCGCCAAGTCTCTCATTGCCTTTGTTGTTGACTTCTTAATAATAATCTTCGAAACATAATTCAGTCATTAATTTGATGCTCAAGCCGTTTAAGGGGGAGTTTAAATATCACCGTCTTTTTTCCCCCCGTCAGGCGGCGGTCCAGGCGGCGGGCTCGGCGGGCATGGAGCTGAAGAACATCGTGGACTTCTACCGGCAGTGGAAGGAGATCGGCTGAGAGGTCAAACGGGGGGCAGCTGTCGAGCGCTGCGAACAGCTGATCGATAACAAACACTCGCTCCCTCTCTCTTTCTCTCTCTCTCTCTCTCTCTCTCCCACTCTTTTGCTCTGTGTATCTGCGTCTTCAAAGGCTGAAAGCCAACTCAAAAGGAGGCTGATTCGATGGAAAGAGAGTGAAAAGCTTAGAGGAGCAGGGAATTTAAAAACAGTGGGGTAAAATAAAATCCAGAAAAAAATCGAGAGAAATGCGAGCGAAACGGCGCTACAAGACAGAGCAGATGTCCCACCTCCCAATCCTAAACATAAAGAGAGACCCCGTGGGGTCCGAGCGCGGAAACGGTGGGGGAACAGCACGCGACTTTTAAGTGCCCCTGGTTCACACCCTAACCAGGAATACACTGTATATGTTAGCAAACGAGTACATACGTGTGGAGAGAGAAGAACCGCACACGCATTACACACATTCACGCTCAGATGAATCCATGTAGATGTTTAGAGCAGTGGTTGGGATCCCCCCGTCCCCTCCTTCCCTTCCTCTTCAGTATGTGTTTCAGAAAAGAGGGTAGAGGACGCGCGAGTCTGGTAGGGCCGCGTTTCTTTTCTTTTTTTCTTTTTGGGGGAAAGTCGAGGGTGTATGAAGACAACTTTTTAGGATGGAGAAAACGCGCTCCGTCCAGCTGACGCCTGAGGCTTCCAGCCCCACAAACCGCTCAGGGGCCTCTAGGAAGAGTCCGGGGAGACTTTAATGTACGCTTCCCCGGGAGACAGTTCTTTTGTTTTTTTGTTGTTGTTTTTTTGTTCCTTATTTGCGGTGTACTTTTGTGACCAGTGACTTGTATTGTGCTATTTTGTATGAGAAGAGGAAGAAAAAAAAGAAACGGGTGTTGTCCTGTTCAAAGTTTTAATTTGGATTTTATTTTTGTACCCAAATGATGTTGTTTATTTTGCCTTTTTTTCGCAAGCTGAATTTGAATGCGATGTCCGAGAATGTTTAAGGGAAAGGGAAGAGGTCGTTGCCTTGCGTTGATCCACTGAACAAATCCTCCAGTTCTGAAAAAAAAATTTAAATAGGGAACTTATAACCCAGAATTTATTTATCAAGGTGTCATGTTAGAGGGGAGTAGAAGCTGACCAGCCTCCTCTCCCAGGAGGGATGTGGGTTCTGTCTGGATCCCTGTAGATTCCTAAATGTGTCCCATCCACATCACCATTTCCATAGTGACTGTCCGATCATGCACAGTGCAAAAGAAAAGTATATGTGTGTGACCATGCATTGAACAATAAAAAGAAACTTGTGTAAGATGATGAATTTCTTGCTTTTTTTGTGCCACCGTTCTGTTCCAGAGACTGAAGTGACCAATAACACAGTCTGCCTTGCAGCAGTTTTACAAATTACCTGAAATACGCGTGAGGAAGTCCTGTTTGAAGGCTGCGACCCTTCACCCAGGTTTATTATATACATATGTGCATGTACATATATGCGTATGAGAGAGACAGAGAGACCTGAACCCTCTTAACGTTCCTGAAGTATTTCTAGGGACTATTTCTAGGTCCTTTCTATCTAGGTCTCCGTGTGTGTGTGTGTGTGTGTGTGTGTGTGTGTGTGTGTGTGTGTGTGTGTGTGTGTGTGTGTGTGTGTGTGTGCCCGCGTGCAATCTGTGCTCCATGCCCACCACTGACCAATCAGACGGAATAGCCAATCCCTTGGCAACTGGGTCAGTGCCACTCCAATAGAAGATGGCTGGCACCGGTGCTGCCCCCCATTTGTGCTGGCTAAGGGGGTTGGGAAACCTCTCTGACCCAAAGCAATCCTCTTTTGGTGAGCCCGCGAGGTTGCGCGGCTGCTGGGACAGGATGAGAGGTTTAAACACACAAGAAGCCCATTCCTCGGATTCATAACCGGGTCCAAAGCAGTTGCGATCTGTCGTGAGAAATGTCGACGCGAGGCTCCGTGCTCGCGGTGGGGAAATGCCTGGCTTGTCTGGAGTTCATGTGTAAGTACCCCTTTGTCCCTTTTGGACAAGTTTGGACTCCACATGTGCGTCTTATTAATCCTTTTCTTGCAGACGGATCTCTGGTGGTTTGTGCGTTTCAGACAGGTTTGCGCTTATGTAATTGATGCTGCAGCTCTTCTCCTCGACAGTGAACGAGGCGATTTTCTGTTTTTTTCCTCCTTTTTCTTTCCCAGATCCAATGGAAAAAAGACTCTGCCCCGAGGGTGGGATTTCGACACTTGGAGGGGAGGGGGAGAGGAGGGGGGGTGCACTTGTGTTTTTGATTCAGTTACTGCAGGAATGTGCAGAGGAAGGGAGCAGGTCTGTTTGGTGCAAAGGGGAAAGGCAACGACTCTGGAATAATTATGGATTTTTAATTAATTTTTTTTTTCTTTTTCCCAAAAAGTAGTTTTTAGCTTTTGCAGAAAAAGCTTTTCTCATGAACCAGTTGGACACGTAAGGCTGAAAGGTCAGACCAGGTCTCTGTGTTGACTTCCATCGTGTTTTGGCTGCAGTTCACACCGACCTGCTTCCATTTCTCCCTAAAAATGAATAAAAAAATAGAGAAAAAACTAGCTTCTGCTTCAGTAAACTAACTCGTTTTACAAGTTTACTAGTAAGTCACTCCCATTCATAGGAACCCAGCGCGTCTCTGCCAAATATTACGAAACATTCGCAAGGCCCCGGTTCCTCACTTCACAAATAATAAACAGCCTCATAATAAACCGACGCAGTTCGTCGGTGTTTACAGAGTTCAAGCATCTTGTGTTTTTATTTGCTTGTTATTTATCTTACTTTTAACATGTGCTTTTGTAAACTTATTGGGCAAAGTTGAAAATTACATTAACTATGGGTAGGTTACTTAATACAACTTTCTGTACCTAATACTTGAAGTACTTCCATTGCCTGTGCTAGTACTTCTACTTTCATGCCATACAGAGAGATGATATATACTTTTTTTTTAAGTTCTAGAGTCACCTTCACAGTTTAACGTCCCTGAAAAAGAATATTTATATAGAGGGCAATTCAATAACACTAAGTAAGCTTAGAATAGTATCACAAAGTAAATGACTGAAAGGATCATTTAAAGGCTTAATGAGTTCAACCAACCAATCAAGCAAATACATTTGATAAATATCTATCCTGAGGTGTATCTCAGCGTCACACTGCTCTCAAACGAGACCTTTGCAGGAATATGATGTGAGAGAACGTTGTGTTGACACAAGCTGGATGTTTTCTCTGGTCAGTTCAAAACAGGATGTCGTCCCTGGTCAGAGTTTTGACAAAGGAGGATCCCCACAGGCTCTTTCCTGCAAGAAGTGTGATATATGCTCAAAATAAGTCAAAGGCACCTTTGAGGACATTTAGTCTTCCGACAGCGCTGAGTGAGGTGCCCTGAAGTTTTCCCTCCTTTCTCACTAACATTCAGGTGTCAAACAGGGTTTGACTCCATCACTTCTGTAACGCCAGCGTGTCTCTTTCCCCGTAGTTATTCTTTACTATTTCGTCATCGGTGCGAAACCTGTTCGCCAGAAATTCCTTCAGCTCAGACTCCACAGGGGCCCTCGGGGGCCAATAATGCTCAGTACCAGACCTCAGGAAGGAAAGGAGCACCGAGAGAATCAGAATCCCGTTTTTCAAAAGGAGTCTGCAAACCCATTACTTTTTGTCCAGATAAGGACCCTAAAGTTCATTGTGGTAGCTTTAAGGAAAATTACATTCAAATAGACTAAATGTACAGAACGTAAAGTTAAGCTAGTTAATGTGTAGAATTTCCCATTTCCGATTAACAAGTATACTATATAATCATTGTGAAACATGAATGTATATGTTCAATTCAACGTTGCTGCTGGTAAATAAGGAGAAGATAACTTAAAACTGTTTTACCGTTGAGGGGCAATAAAATGCCCCAACGCCGGGCACAACAAGCCATGTTCACTTAGCATGCTAATGCTACACGCCGAGGGGGGGAACCGAGAATATCTTCACGTTTTTGTATCGAACCAAATATAACAATTGAAAAAAAATATATATACATATGTATGTATGTAAAATGATGGAGTCGCTGAACGCACACGTGGCTCGTGTTGTTGTTGCTCCAGCGGGCCACGTGAGCGCCGCAGCGCTTCCTGTTGGCTCGTGCGGGACAAGGAGCGCTTCCTGTTGGCTCGTGCGGGACAAGGAGCGAGAGGAGGGCTGTGGCGCTCGCGCTGTTACAAAAGAGAGGGAGGAGGGGGAGGAGAGAGAGAGGGGGAGGAAAGAGGGAGAGGGAAGAGGGAGAGGGAAGAGGGAGCGAGGAAAAGACGCCCAGCCGCGCCTGTCACACGCGTTACAGAAGCGCGCGTCGTTGCTCCACGCGGGCGGACTAACGTACGTGGAGGGAGCAACTTTCTCCGGACTCCGCATGCCGGAGGGTCGCGGTAAGTCCAGAAACCAACAACAACAACAATAACAACAATCTGCGCTCCGAATGATGCGAAACGCGAACGTCTTCCCTCCGCGTTGTGCAGGCGAAGTTCCATCGCTAGAAACCACACACGGTCCGGGGGCTGACAGGGGTGATGGAGAAGAGACCCCCACGCTCCCCTACACACACACACACACACACACACACACACACACACACACACACACACACACACACACACACACACGGTCTTGATGGGTCGAGTCACTGGGAGTTGTCTCCACGTGATCAAATGTTTGCTGGCGAGGTGAAACGCTCCATCGGCATGTGGCGTTTCCCCATAATTATTCATGCCCCCCCCCTCTAATACATGTATGTGCATCTGTATCTGTTGTTAAACACCATCGTAAAATAGTCCGTGTGTATCTTTTTCTCCTCACACACTGTTTGATTTCTTTATTTATCCGTTTGCCACCATCCAGAGTTTCTCTCTTCTTGGTTTTATATTGTTGTGAAACTAAATACATTTGCAGGGTCTTGGACTGTTTGTTGGAGGCGTCAGCCGTGTTTCTGGTAAATGGGCGTAGTCATCTTCTAAGAGGTCATGGAATCTGCAGGGGATTGACTTGATGCTGGTGTGCATGCATCTGCATCTCATGTCTCCTCATTTAATTAGCATTGACTTGTAAAACTTGTTTTGTTTGGCATTGTGCTCCTTGTATTTGTCATGACACACAAACGGTCCCGAGCGCGCCAGAGGAACGTGCTGAAACTTGTACAGTTTGTTGAGAAATACAAACATTCAGGTTTTGGAGGAACTGCTTGGTTGAATTAATGCATGTAATCCTGGTCTACAGATATGAACTGTTTCGGCGGTGCATCATTGTTCGTGTTACGTAAGCTTGTTTCATGTGAAGTGCAGACACTCGCCAGGAGGGGGGCACCGCGGGGGGGGGGTCATGTCTGCCACATGTGTGCAGGGTTAACCCCATCGTACACATCCAACACTGGAGCAGAGGGAGGAAGCTAATGGAAGGAGAACTGATGCTTTTCCCATAGGGGATTTATCTTGTAGTCCACAGATCTTTGGGGGGGAACTGGTCCCCTCAGTGTATGAGGGTTAAACGCTTTAGTTTTACATTAGTTCTCAGAAGATCACACACACACACACACAATGTTAATTCTTAATGTGTGTGTGTGATGTATTTTTGGGGAAGGACGGTTTCTTACACACTAGAAAACTACAACCTTTTTTTTTTTTTCTTCTTTTTTGAATTTTGTGTACGTTGTTATGAGAAGAAAGTAATGAAGTATTGTGCAATCTTTGCTTAGTTGTTGGATCGTGATGTCATTGGAATCCAGGATCTTACCAATGTTTGGGGGAGGGGGGAGTCTTTGAAAATGTCGGATTTATTCTACAGAATGTCAAAAATGTTCTGTTTGTTTGTCCAAAACAGCTTTCATAGGACCGATGGAGGGAAGTCTCTGATTAGAAGAGCAGAAAGAATTGGTCGTTGACAGAGAATTAACTAATCTGCATCAACTTTGATCAAACCCTCTAATAAAATGATTGATTTTTTTTATTTGGCCATAATGCCATGATGCCAGAATTCTTTTTTTCTACGTCTTTTGTTGTCTGAATTTGACCACAGCAATTGATCCAATTTGATAAAGCATTTCAAATGGTCTGAAAGCCGAGTAGCTGGAGCTGCAGAGCGAGGACGTTCGGCACAAAGCGCATGTGTGTCCATCAGTCTGGACAACACGCTCTGTCTCTCGCACAGCTCGTATTGTCAGCCTCCGGCCAATAAAGACGCCCATTGAGAAAAGTCACGTGATCGACGTCACGAGTCAGTGGGAAGGAATTTTGGATGTCAGGAGATGAACCAAAACACTGGGGGGAAAAAAAGGAAAAAAAAGAAGGAAGGAATGAAGGAAAAGCTGTTCGGGTCGGTCCTGAATTGCTGCATAAGAGGTAACCGCAGCAGGCTGGAGTGGGGAGGGGCGTGCAAATGTTATCCTTCTTTTAGCCCACGGGGCCGTTTGAGGGTCCATGATCCTCCATAATTTACCAGCGAGCTCCAGCTGCTGAGCCTCATGTGTTGCACCCCAACAATGTCACGTCTCGCGACGCTGCTCAAACAGAACTGACCGGTCAGAGGTTGTAAGTGATTTGGCTTTAGTCCATTTTAAAGCGGTGACATTGATAAAAATATTCAAAGCAACGTACATTCGAAGTCATAAATGCATTTGGTAAAACGTTACGGCGCAAACCGCTTTGTTTAGACACTTTGACTTGGACAAGAGGAGAAATCTTGAGGAAACCAGAGTCTCCTTTTTTGCGGAAGGATGCATGCAATTAAACCACTCGAACATACATTTTTATTTTTTTGCCCGTACCTCCGTTAAGGCTGTTTGAGCCTCTCGTGTTTGCAGCTGAGCACAATGTCCCCGTCTCAGACGCCCAGCTACGCCACCCAGCTAGGCAGCCATAACGTCCCTGCATCGGCACGTGGATGTCCCAAGCTGTGGTCCTGTTTTGTGCGTGTTTTTGTTGTGTGCTGCTCAGATGTCATCCACTCGTGATGAATGCAGGACGTGTGTGTGTGTGTTTGAGAACCCGAGCAGCCTCATTTCCATCCAGCGCAGCGTGTGACCGTCATCCTTTGGGCCCTTGTACTCTCCGGGCTCAGACCCTCCACAAAGCTCACTTTGTCCCCGCTAACCGGCCTGCAGCTGGGTCGCAGCGAGCGGCGGCGGCGGCCTCCTCTTGTTTCCCCTCGACATTTGAGCTGCGATGACCGGAGAGACGCCTCTCTGGTCCGGGGAGAAACGTGTCGTCCCCTGAACGTACTGGAGTTTTTCATTTGTACATTCAATCATTTTAGTTGACTTCAATAGTTTTGGGGTCTACGGCGTTTCGAGGGTGATTTTGAATTAGTTGAAAACCAAAACGTTGCTGTAGATCGTGTATGTGCGTGCGTGTGTCTCATTGCTCTCGTTGGTCGTCCTTAGTGTTTCCAGTGTGGCGGGGGATCGGGCTCGGCGCCGGCGTCCGAGGCGGATGGAGCCAGGGCTGGGGACGCTGCCTGCAATGGGAGCCTGACGTTCCAGGACGGGAGGCCTGGCTGCCGGTGTTGGACTACCCTATCTGGGTGGTCCTCTGCCAGGGGGGCCGCGCCAGGCTCCGGGAGGTTTGTCAGCGAGGGAGGGGCGCCATCAGGCTGCCCGCGGACATGCTCCGCATCAAGCTGCCCCCGCTCTTCGACATCCACCAGATCCCCAAGGTACGGGAGGACGGAGGCCTCGCCCGGTTCTCCGTCTCCCCCACTTAATTTATACACAGCAGGATAAAACTATTATTGATAAATATCAAATTTCCTGTTCGGGAAGCAGCGCTGTTATTTGCCAACACAAGGTGGATCTGTGAGCTCAAATAATCTAAATAGTAGTATTTCAAGATGCTTTGATTATGACGTTAATACTGTTTACATTATTTATCTACCGCAATAGTCGTAAAAACTTGCCGAGGGCTTAAAAGCACGACGTTTTTGCCAGGAAGCACTTTGCATTGTGGTGTCGTGGTGAAGACCTCGTAGCAGCTGATTGTGCTGGCGGGTCCCTCCTTCTCCTGGAGACAGACTCCGCGTTGGCAGGCGTCCACCCGGCTGCTGTGTGCTGATCTTATCGGAAGAATTTCCAAGCAAAAACCGGTTCAATGTTGGTAGTAAAATGTGTCCTAGACTCTTCCCTATTTTATTTCCCCCCCAGTTCCCCTATTTTGAATTCAATGTTTCTGTCTCTTCCTGCCGGTCACTCAAACAGCTGTTTAAAAACACATCGATTCCCTTTAAAGGACTTTTTCCTTTTTGAGAGACCAACCGGACTGCGTCATCAGTCATCGATGGAACGTTAAAGAAGACTTCGTCTGAATGATGTTCCACTCGCTCACGAAAGATTATACATTATTTGACTGGACGTCGGGGTGTTTTTTTTTAGTGTCTCCCCTAAAGCGGCCGCTGTAACGGGCGTGTGCTCGGTCCTCAGGTGTTCAGGGAGGACAGCATCATCTCGGGCTACCGGCACCCAAAGAGCTCGGCGCTGGACTGCCTCCTCAGCAGCTTCCAGATGAACAACGAGACCATCAACATCTGGACCCACTTCCTGCCAACATGGTGCGCCCAAACCACATGTTCATTCAGCGTGTTTGTTTTGTTCAGTGTGTTATTGTCGCGACGCACCAAAACATCTGATATGGGAACGTGGAGACGGCTCAACTGTCATTTCTATGTGCAAGTTGGTCCTAAAAATGTTAGCATTTAGCATTCAAAGCTAAAATATTCCTATACTCACTCTTTTCCCCTCAACAAAAGAGATGTTTTTTTTATTTTTATTCTGAAGGTAGAGCGACGTTAAACCAGACGCGGTCGCCCTCTTTGTTTACTGTCCAACTTCTAATCCCTCGTGATGCTGGAGGGAGGAAAAAAAACAAAACGGTGCTTTTTTTAGAAAGGCGGGAAAAACGAGCGGGACCAAAAACGATGACATTTTGCAGGTACTTCCTGTGGCGCTTCTGTGTCCTCTGCTCCACGATGAACTTCCTGACCGACAGCTACACCTGGCCCCTTCTGGTGTACATGCTGCTCATCTGCGTCTACCCCTTCACCTCCAGCTGCGCGCACACCTTCAGCACCATGTCCCCCGAGTCCCGCCACATCTGCTACTTCTTTGACTACGGAGCGCTCAGCCTCTACAGCCTGGGTGAGTCCCTGTGGGAATGATTATGCACGTCTCACCGTGCAAAACACTGAACTTGAATCTCTATTTTGAAGGACTTTGGGTGCATGATTAGCGTGTTGTATACTTCTCTTTGCTACCTATTCCCTTTTCCTGTAAACATTCATGTGTGAGGGCCAGATGAAAATCCCTGTATACTGAGATACAAAATATTTAGTTTTAACTACCTTGCAAGTGGGAAAGAAGTTCCTCAGTGAAAGCCGAGGAACCAGCAGGTTGAGATCACCTCAAAGTTGCTGAATTATCTCACCATCAACAGTCGCGTTTCACAAGAAGGACGCGATATCTGCTTTGCACGCGTTATCAGCGCTTCTATTATGTTCCGCCTCCTGAGAAACCCTTTGTTTCCTGGCTTATCGGCACCCGGGGGCAGCGCGTGTTCGACCTTGCGGCCGTTTCCCCTCCGGCCGCCATTGTGTCATTGTGAAAATCAACAAATAATTCCGAGGTTGTTGAACGCGCGGCCGTTGGGGAACGGGTTTGTGCGGTTTCGGTCTGAGGCGAGTACGAACAGGCCAGACATTAACTTTTAACTGTGCTCAACCTTTTTTTTTTTTTTTTTTTCTTTAAATCTATACAGACATAATTGTGTGTTTTTATAAGGCGTGCGTGTGTTCATTTCACATTAGTCAGCGTTGTATTTGCCTTTGTGGGCGGGTCGGTGGTGGTGGTCCCCTGCAGGCTGACTGCTAATCTGCCCCAAAGCCTCTTAGTGCCAAGATTTGCCCAGTTTTATATCTCGTCTCGGGGATGAGGGCTCATAAGGAGGCTTTCTCGCTGCGGCGAGGTCCATGCGCACCGTGCGGCGGATGCTCTCTGGGAAAGGAGGCGGCTGCTTCTCTCTAATCACAAGTCCTCAAAGGGTTTCAGAACACTGAGAACCTTTTGAAGGCAACGGAGGTTTTGAACTTGAGGGACACCTAGTGGTCGATTCAGAAAACACACCCGTTTTATTTTTACATTTTTATTATTTTAAATATGTATTTATTTTTTATTTACTAATATTGTTTTATCAATTGTTTTATCAATGCCCCCACAAGATCAAAAATCTAGAATTTGTGGCTTTAAAGCCAGACTTTAAGGATTTAGTTTTACTTTGGGGTGTTATTGCATACTGAAGAGCTTTTTTTTCTAAAATTTAAATTTGTACTAAAAGGCCTTTTATTTACATATACTCATATCGTATTGTATTATATCTACATGGTGACATCAGACCCTCGGATCACATCTTTAATTTCCGAGGGCGCCGTGTTTGTCGTCAGGTTGTGCCATGAGCTACGGGTACTACGCCATGCCAGACTGCCTGGTGAACAGCTGGCTCCACCAGCACTTTGTCCCCATCGCCATCGGAAACACGCTGTTCTGTACCAGCCTGTCCTGCTACTCCAGGTGAGATCCCCTCAGCCGCAGGACAACACCGTGCCACACCTTTTATGTTCTCAGCAAAGTGAGTCAAAGAGCAATGTGACGCTGTTGTTTTTAGTTCACTCCAACGATCCTGTTTGAGTTTTAAATTCATTCGTCAACTTCAATCACACACCGACATTAAGTTGTGTTTGAGTGTGGTACCGTGCGTGATTAGTATACATACTTGTTATCATTTTGTTTCTGTATGTGCGTTTGTTTTCTTCTCCACGTGCGTGGATCAGAGTGAATGCGTTGCGCTGATCGCTGCCCTCCGTCCGTCCCCACAGGTTCCTGGAGCTGCAGTTCCCCCAGAGGAGTAAAGCTCTGAGGACGGGAGCCTTCGTCCTTCCCTTCATATTCGACACGGCCCCTCTGTTCTACCGGGTGAGTGTCGGTATTGTTGCATGCGGAAACGATATGAATATTACACACACACACACACACATTATGTAAGCGTGCACAGCTGATTAGTGAGCGAGCAGGACTTTGGCCATCAGGCGGATTTCTCTCCTCAATGTAAAACAACTGCATCGCTGCCATCAAGTAATCCCTCTAATCACTTAGTTTGAGCAACACACGAGTCGTTGGTTGGATTACTTTGTCTCCAACGAGGCCAAACAATGAACAATACCACAGCGTCCACATGAACACATTTGATATCAATTAGCACTTTGTTTCCGAATTGCATTTTTATTAAAACGCGTGTTTCTGCGGGTAGATCGTCCTCTGCTCCGGCGGGGGCTGCGGCTCGAGCGACGCCCTGTCCAGCCACTGTTACCACCTCCTGTTCGCCGTCCTCACCTGTTTCCTGTTCACCGCCCACCTCCCGGAGAGGCTGGCCCCGGGACGCTTCGACTACATCGGTACGTCCTTCTGTGGAGTGGTGCTGTCATACTGCGCGTTCTCTCACTGAGGAACTAAGGACGAGTGCATGAGGGGCATCCGTCCCGTACTAGAGTCTCATGGAGAACCTTTGCTCCGCTGCAGGATGTCAAGTTTACGACGACTATTGAGCTTCGAAGTGGAGCCAGAGAAATACTATGGTTCCAGTTTCGGTCAAATTTATTTTGGAAGCCGCTCGACATCCTGACGGCGATGAATCCATGTGCAATATAAGCAGCATCTCATTTGACCCCCCATGGAAAGCCTCGCTGTGCTCACTCTGCGCCCATCGCGGTAGATGGATGCGGTTGCCGACGACAACAAAGCCTCCCTCTCCCCCTCTCTTTTTTGTTTCCCCGCCTCCCCCCTCACGTCTCCCCCTCTCCCCACGCAGGCCACAGCCACCAGCTGTTCCACGTGAGCGCCGTGGTGGGCACCCACTTCCAGATGGAGGGCGTGATGGCGGACATGACGGCGCGGCGGGCCTGGCTGGTGGCCCACGGAGGGACGCCCTCCTTCCTGGGGACCATCGGCATGCTGGTCGCCAGCCTGGTGCTGAACCTGGCCATCATCGGCATCTTCAGCACGCCGCTGCTGTGGAAGCTGCCGCCGCCGCCGCCGCCACGGCGAACGCCAAAGTGCAAAGAGCAGTGAGGGCGGGTTTCCCCACCCGAGTCATTTTCCAAAGGAAAGGTGTGTGTGTGTGTGTGTGTGTGTGTGTGTGTTTGAGACGACTATTAACGCCACTAGTTCTATTATCCGCAGATAAAGATTTTTGCTGCTTCCTGTTCAGTGCTAAAGCGTCCGCTCACGTGTCCGCTCAGCAGCCGAGGACCCAGTGGCGTCTACCGAAGCCCTTTTCTGAAGTCGCGTCGAGCTCGTATGTCGGCCGTGTGCAAAATGTCGGTTTAATTTATTTTTGCAGCTCCTCAATGGGCATTTGAAATTCCTCTGGGTTGAAGGACGCGTGCTGTTGCAACACGAGTGCGTTGTTTCATCCAGGATGTTTACAGTGATTCACAACTCGCTCCGATCATAAACTGAACATCCAACGTCGCAGTTTGCAGGGATTATATTTGGAAGTAAGTGTTTTTGTTATTTTTTTATGTCTGTTTTGCGTGTTCTAGGCCTTTTACTCCTTTTTAAAAGGATTTATAGAAAATCTTCTCTGTAACTGGACTACTTGGTTTGGTGTGTTTCTGTTACCATAAAGACTCGAGTCTCATTCAACTCATTCATATCCAGTTCGTCCTCATATCGATTCCACTCAGCAGGGACTGGAATTGATTCGCAGGTCATGTGGTTATTTTCTCCTGATTGGCCGCCTTGTTATAAACCTCGCAATCGGCCCTCAGCAGAAGGGAAGACAAATATATTGCAGCGCATCGTTAATTAAAAGAAAGGTACAGTTTTTCTTTTTTTTCTTCTTTTCTTTTTTTTTTTTTTAAATCGAGCCGTGAGTTTCCATGACAACGCTCTAGTGGCCTTGTATCCCCTGAAGGTCTTGAGTGTTGAGCGCGAGCGGCATCATTTTCTCGTGTTTCTCTATCACATATAACATCCGTTCTAATAATATTTCGTGGACAAAAGCACTTGAACTCAGTGGTGTGTTAAGCGTTTGAACGTTTCCGGTCCAACATGTGTGATTTACCACTGAAGAATTAAGATTAAGAGTGACAAGTAGATTGAGTCCACTTTTGGGTTATTGATAAGCTGACAGTATTGTGGGGCATCTATAGAACTACAAAGCAGTCCTACTATGTCCGTACTGTGGTTATCTTGCCCCAGGCTGCATTCACTACTGAAATAATAATTATATATTTATGAGCTGTGTACATTTATCTTTCTTTATTTTTCATGTTTAAAAGAGGAATGTTTTTCTCTTTTTGGGAACTGATTGAGTAAACCTGAACCATTCATGTGCTGTAATTTCGGTTATTTATCCTGGTGTACAAAGTGCCAGTGGATTATTTAATCCGGTTTGGTTTTCCAAAGAAAAATAATTTAAATAATCAATTAATACAAAACCCTTTTTTTTATATTCATTCAATCATTTAAGTCACGTCTCAGTTCAAACTGCCAAACATTTGCTCCATTTATCCCAGCTTCTTATAAAGCCTCATTCTAAATTGAACATTTGGGGGTTTTGGCCTTTTTGGACAAAACTCTAGAAATTGGCATTTGCACTTTCCCAGTATTTTTTTTATATCAATTATTTTTACATAATGTATCAACAAATAATGAACCATTGATCTCTGATTTTATCAGTTCCAGTAAAAATGAATTTTGTAAGCACCTAAAAATGAAAGAAATATGACTTTATAAGATGCACAACTTAGAAATGAATGAATAACCTCATTGTAGCAGCCACATCGGTACCGTTTGTATACAAAGCCTTTGCTGCAGAAACCAGCTAATAAATATTGTTCAATGGGGGATTTGTGTTGTTCCTCTAACACGCTGCCGGTACTCGTACCTGACAAACTGTTCCTAAAGTACGGTTTAATATCTGTTTTGCACAAATCTACACATAATTCCACCATTAACACCAGTAGTTTGAACACACAACCCACAGGTGGCACTCGACTAACACACACACACACACACACACACACAAAAGGCTCTTTTGGTAGAGTTTGGTGAGGGGGGGGGGGGTGTACGTGCTATGATGGAAGTGTGCGGTGCTACGGGTCCATGTGGGACGCTGAAGTCTGGAGGTTGGGTGTAGAATCACAAAGGACACACACACACACACACACACACGCGCACGCAGTTGTGTGTTAAAACAGGGCAGTTGTTCCGGGTGTTTTTAAGGGTTAGTGGGTCGGACAAAACGGAGACTTATTTGTACTCAATGTTGTTTCCACAGGCTCTTTCTGTTTTCACCCCCCCCCCCGAGCACTGATGGCTTTCATTCTTTGTCATTTCCTCTCCGCTCGGCTCGCTGCCTCCGTCAGTTTGACCCGGTTGGTTCTTGCAATCATCTTGTGGTTATTTTGTGTGTATTTTTTTATTATTTGGTATCCACTCCAACCAGTTGTAACTCTGTGGTCTTTTGGTTCATCCGTCGTCTCGGCCGTTTGGTGCCTGCTCGGTTTCTCAGCAGTTTGACGGTGACGAAGGCCTCAAGCGGGCCGACGTCGCCGCATTATTCTTTTTTTTCTTTTTTTTTTCACCATTTATTTTCAATTCCAAGCCCGCCGCACATTCTCCGGACCAGATCACTGTTACTACGAAGGCTTCTTGTCACGTAAACCTTGTTGGTTTACTCCTCGGTGGCAGCAGATTCAGATGTCGATTATCAGGTAAAATGGGCACTTTTCTAATAATGTAAAAATAAAAAAGTATTGAAGGATGTTGATGGAGAGCAAAGATAAGTGCGAGATGACGTGTTCTAAATGGGGTTTGAAAGATGATTCATTGGTGCCTTTTTTTTAATAGACAGTTTTGTACAACCCTTTTGTATAGATAACTAGTTATTCTTAAAATGTAAACATATTTTCTTGTTCATTGCTGTGAATAATTTGTAATTTGCTGCATTGTTCTAATACTTGTGTAATAAATAAGGCCTTTTTATAAGTCTAACAATCGTCTCTGGAATAATTTTAAAGGTCATCCAAACAGACTGGATGCGTTTCTTTTTTTAACAGCTGTGCCACATGTTAAAGCAATTGCATAAGGTTTTACTAATAAATACTATTGAATTCCTTTTGAAATTGATATCCTTAAATAATGTCATTCATCCAGTCAAACACAACACAAAATTACGGTTTTCCTCATCAAAATGAAATGAATTGAAATAAACTAGATTTTCTTACATCGATTAACTGGTTCAGCTCTAATTTTGTATACTTGGAAAAAGCGCCGATATGCAACTTGTTTGAATATTTTGTAAGGCTTACAGAATGAGCTGAGGACATGTTAAACTGTTTGATTAATTCAATTAATAATTTGGTTTTAAGAAAATGATCAAATGTGTGTGATTGGTGGATTGATTTCGGTGTGTGTGCAGTGTGTGCCGGCGACCAGCAGAGGGCAGAACATCCCCAGTGGCCTTCAGGCTCATGAGGATCGGAGTTTACCCCCCCCCAAAAAAATAGGCTGCAGTGTTTCGTCGGCGTGTCTGAATCACAAAAGATCTATACGGGGAAGATGGTCAGTGGAATTAAAACTTTAGTCCAATATTCTCCCTTTTGAGTAAGACTTTGCTTTAGGCTGTATGAGCTTCTCCCACTTTTGTTGCCTGTCACATAGAAGAAAATAAGAGAAATAAAAGCTGATGTGAAGTAAATAATCTGCTCTTCCCTCAGAATGTAAATATGCTGGAAGCCTTGTAGATTAAAGTACTTGATGTGTTTCATTTTGTTTTTTCAATGCAGTTCAATCATTATTCAAAGGAGCTGTAGTCCTGCAGGAAACGGCTCCTGCATTTTTCTGCCACTTTAATTACCAACGCAGTGCCACATATTCTCATTCTATATATAAATTGGGCATCTAAAACCGAAAAAAGAATCTTGATTAAATAACAGCACCGATAACAGAAAAGATATGTATTTTTTCTTTTAGTTAGAGCCACCTGTATGAATTCTCCCTAATTAGTTATAAAGATTGGTATGCTATGATTTTACTATTTTATACCATTTTGTTCTCATACTCACTACCCGCTGTTAAGGCCTTACGGGGTTCATAGTAAAGCATAAAGAGTGGTCTACTAGCGAAACGAATCTCCACTATGATAAAATATATAATTACCGTATAAAAATCAATATCCTGCATACAAGCATTATCTGTTGAGGTGGGTGATTAAAAAGGAAAGTTCTAATAGGGCTTCCATTTTTTAAAATGGCCTCATTTCGAGCTCTTATTACAGTCGTATTCTATATCCAACCAGGCTGAAGAGACTCGAGTGCTTATTAAAAAAAAAAAAAAAAATCATTTTGAATTCACAAATGGAGCCCTTCAGGCTAACGGGGACAAACACCATGTGTATTAATCCGATCCGGGCCCCGAATCCGCTTGTAGACACTAGAAGAAAACAATAAGCCAGACACGAGTCCTCCAAGTGTTTTCATCCGCCCGGTACACCGGGGGAGGTGGAGGGGGAAGAAAGAGACGGAGAAAGGGCATGATAGCATTACTCACAATCCATTACCACTCCCAGGAGACGCTGTGCATGCAGAGTGATGGAGGGGGGGGGGGGTTGGTGGAGAGAAGGGTTCGGTTGGTGTTAGTTTGCCGGGGGCCCGGCAGTAGGGCCAATATGAAACTTGATTATTCCTTTTCAATAACCATCTGCCGAGGATCCCGTCGAGGCGTCGCAGGATGCTGATTAGTTCGTCAGAAATAATAGGAGGCTGCTGAATGGTCTTGTTAAGACGTCCAACTTTAAGACCAGACGGAGGCCCGAGTCATTGTTCGCTCTGAAGCACCCGATAATGACGGATCGACGCTGCACGGGGAGGGGGGGGGGGTTCTTTTTTAACAAGTTTGTTTATTTTTAAAGGGCAGACAATATACAAAGTGCTGGAGAAAACGTACACGAAGATATATATATATATATATATATATATATTTTAGACGTTAATAATAGTATGTACACTGGGTATTTACACTTGAAGGCATCACGGTCGGTGTCCTCGCCTCCTGTCTCTGTTTCACCGCCGTCTGTCGCTCTCCTCCTGGAGTTTCACCCCCTTTAACCCATCTGTTGCCTCTAAAACCATCTCAAGTCTGACCGCGACCCCCCCCGACCCCACACATCCAGCCCCCGGGGGACAGAGTTTCACTACAGTGCTTTGATTATGAAGGCCTGTTGAACGCTGCTAAAAGACGGGCAAGGTGGAAGGAGTCCTTCATATATTACATGTAAACAAACACCTGCATGACATTTTCCTTTTGTTTTTAAAAGAAAATACTCATGAAACAAACACGCTTTTGATTGTACAACTTTGATTTCCTATATACATTTACTGAAGGCATTTAAACAAAGTCCCATGTCCAAAACGTATCCGCTGTACAAGAAACTGAATGCCGTTTCAAGTTCTCACTTTGCTTTTTCCAAACGTGAAACATCCGTTTCGTTTTCTCGTTGGCCGTAGAGTCGCATGAAATGTGCCACAGCTCGGAGCGCAGAACCCGTATACACTTCAACACGTATCCACACTCATCCATGCATGTCCTCCGTCCGGCTCGTCCCACCTCAGATAAACATTTTGGTAAACACGTGACGGGTTCCCAGAGGAGGGGGAGCAATGGGGCCAAACTTAAAGCGGTGGGTTAGAGTGATCAGCCCCGATTGGAGTAATGGAACCAAAGCGACGCCCCCCGCTCCCCCTTTCGTCCCCCCCCCGGGGTGGTTCTCGGCCTCCTCAGCCCAGGATGTCCAGGTAAACCGGCGGGTTCTTGACCAGGGCCAGCAGGCGGGCGTGGAGGTCCTTGATGACCATCCTCTGCTGGGGCTCCCTCTGCCAGCAGCCCTGCATCAGCAGGTGCACCTCCTTGGGGCAGGTGCGCGGCCTCTCCAGTTCCCGTCCCTGCGTGATGCATTCGATGGCCTGTTCGGGGATGGGAATTCAGACACAGCGTTGTAGTGACAGGTTATGAAAGGAAACCCTGGGGACAATTCAGCTGAAGACCGAAGTCTGCAGCATGTTGAGATGCTCGCAATGAAAATTCTTGAAAATGATGAACTGTATCATTCTGTTGGGTGAATTGTTTAAAACATTTGCCAACTAGCGCTAAAAACAAGTAGTTCTAAACCAATTGTGTACAAATAAAAAAACAACTGAAAATTCAACCACAAAATGTGCAAAAAAATTCATTCAGAGAGGAAAAAGATTTTCTCACACACACACATTTTGGGTCGGCGTGTATGAACATCCCTCCGCTCGGACGCTAACAGCGCGGCTAACGGCTGCCGGCGGTCGGAGAACAGAACCAATGTGAAGGATTCAGCGGAGCGGCCTTCTTTCTAACCAACTCAACCCGATCCGACGAGTCCATGAGGCCTTTCAGCCGATTCCCTCACGCAAAGGCTCGCCGCCGCTTGCCGAGTCAGTATTTTGGGATGATTGATCGCCGCCACTGCGTGTTTGGGCAACATAATTTGGCCCAACCCTCATTGGCCGAGACAGATTGGGTTAACGAGGTTACAGCTCATTGGCCCTCGGCAAAAAATGAGCGGCGATGTGATTAGAATCGAGTGCCGGGGAAAAGCGATCCACCCTCCTGCTGAAAGGAGAGAGGGTCCGGGCTCGTAATAGCAGTGCTGCGGTCGCAATGGAGTCCCACTTCTTGGTGCTCGGGCTGAAAAGGCTAGACTGGACAGCCCTTAATTATTATAATTGTATTGATCAGCTTAAGAGCCACGAGCCGTAGGAGAACTTCAGCAACATTAAGTAGCATCCAATGAAAATGTTTTGTTGTGTTTATCTGAATTCTCTATGAGAACATTTACAAATGCGATTCCAAAAATATGGTTTGTAAAAATTAACGCATTTCGGGCTTTTATGAGTATTTTAATATCAATTGTGTGACAGATGACAGCGTTTTAACAGGGTGACAACGATCCATCTGTAGCTATCCTCAGCTTTACCGAGCTATTCATGGCTACTTGATTAGCTGTCGGGTCCACAGCGTTTCAGTTTTCACTGCTGTTTATATTAAAAAAGCTGCAGAAAGCAGAGAGAGAGAATGTAGAAATGTGAATCCTTAAACTGTTATTTAAAGTCTCATCTCTCCTCTTCGCCCACATCACAAAATAGAAAATCTCATGACTCTCCACGCAGATGGTTACAGTTTTATTTGTGGAGGTTTGGAGATCAAATCGAATTAACCTGCGGGCCCAAAGACCTTCTGACGTCTGACAGGAAATCTGAGCACACAAGTTGAGTCCTAGAGGTGAAATCCTAAACAGCCAAGAGAAAACTTTCACTGGGTGGAGCAACGATTCCACTCGCCACACGAATAAGTAGTGTAGTTTATTGTCTTCTGGGTTTTAAAGTAGCCTAACTGTAATCATTGCAACTATGCAAACCACTTAAACAATCCTTCTTTGGAACCGAGTCTCAAAAAAAACACTCAAGGTTGTTGCCTCCATCATCAACCATCATCTCATCCTATCAGACCTCTGCGTCAAACAATAATAACACAGTCACAGTGACCTTTGACCACCGATATACTCTCTGCTCCGCTACCGCAAAGGGTGAGCAAGAAACGTGTCTTTTTATTTTTTTTCTCTCATTTCTTTGAACTGATCCTTTAAATTAGACGCGTTTTCTTTCCCTGTGGCCAGAAGGCGGAGCTGGCGACGCAACTTGGGTTCCAATAACTCACCTCGCTGTTGGACAGCTGGTACCAGGGCTGTTTGCCGCAGGTGAAGATCTCCCAGAGGACCACGCCGAAGCTCCAGATGTCGCTCTCCGTGGTGAACTTCCTGTACATGATGCTCTCTGGGGGCATCCAGCGGATCGGCAGCATCGTACGTCCGCCCACCTGTGGAGGCAGACGAGGCGAGTGGGTGACGTTTCATCAGGTCATCAGGTCTCAAGGGGAACATTAAACACTTTGTTGAATTTGAACACATTTATAAGCACATTTCAAACTGATTCTTGTCATCGACGCCCAATTACAACAATGTGATTGTGATGTGAAAAATGAAAACGATATCTTAAAATAATGATTTATTATCTGAAAAAAACAATCACATAAACTTAGTTGTAACTTACTATGTCATTACAAATGTAATTCATATGAGACACTTTGAATTAGTATCTCATGCTAAGCCTTTCTTTGAGAGGAGTCATTCTTTTTTCAAAGTTGTTGCATCATTTTTAAGTGTAACTTCAATTCATAGTAGTTCAGAAAAAAATGGGCCCACATACAACAAAAGCAAAGTTTCTTTGGCCGAAGCGACACACAGCACGACTCGTCTTCATCGCTCCCCTCTTACCCGGTAGTAGTCCGTGCTGTAGATGTCTCGGGACATCCCGAAGTCTCCGATCTTGACCACCAGGCCCTCCCCCACCAGGCAGTTGCGGGTGGCCAGGTCGCGGTGGACGAAGTGCAGCGACGCCAGGTAGACCATGCCCGAGGCGATCTGCGCGGCGATGTGCAGCATCTGGGGGAGAGTGAGCTGACCCAGGGGGGGCATCTTCGTCTCCTCCAGGATACGGGCGTCAGGGCCGTGAGCCCTACAGGGGACATGACGGGAACGTGTCAGGGTGTCTGGATCGGAGGGGAGGTCATTGGTTCATAAGACAGATGACGAGAAGGGGGATATTATCCAAAGAAGTGGTGGGAGAGGTATTCAAATCATCCGCTTATTCGGAAGTACACAACCTGCAATGTGGAGTTACATAATTAAGAGCTCTGCTTTCATCGTCCTAATCGAATAAAAGTGCTCGAGCATTACGAGCAAAATGCCTCAAATTCTGCAGAAAGAACCGCCCCGGTGAGTCAGCGCTTATGAAACCCATATTACATCATTTGTGATGCATCAGTACGTAAGCAGCACTTCTGTTTGTGGCTGCTCGACGCGGTTTGGTACTTTAGTCCAGTGGGTTTCAGGCCAATGCGGAGTCGTAACCTAAGACGCAACATTTTTAAATGTAGTGGAGAAGAAATATAAAGTTGCCATTGAAATACCAAAGTAAAGAACTTTAAAGTACCTCAGAAGTGTACTTTAGCACAGCACCTGTACTTCCTTTCCAATAGTTTCATTTACAACCGAACATTTTATTCCTGCCACTAACCTGCCACGAGGATTATCTCGTCACGCACTAATTATATGGATTATTCAGTCACACAGCGCTTTATGCTGAGGGCAAATGAAGCATTACCGCTCACCTTCCTTTTTTTCAATTGGTGAAGGCTTGTCTGCAAAATAAATATAAAATTATATATCTAAGCAGTGTGTTGATTTAATTTAGATGTAAAATGTAGTTAGACTTAATACAACAAAACAAATTGACTGATCCCTTTTAAATATATATACTTTTTTGTTTTATATACTCAGCTTGTATATAACGTGCAATTGGTCATTTGTGAAGTTCCATTGCTTTTTGAAAAATCTACTTTTGAGGTTGGTGTACGTCTGTAGCGGTGTTATGCATTTCGGATTGGTAGATTCCACAATATTCTCCTCGATGGTTTCCCTTCCTGCACTGGTTCCCGCTGCGGCTCCATCGCACATATCTCCATTTGTGAGGAACAGGACGTGCTGTTCGGCCTCCATTGGCTGCTCACATGAATGAAACGGGGGCGATCGCCCCCCTCTCCCCCCGCTGCGTCGGTAACGACGGCACCAAACCTTGGTTGACCTGAAGCACAACGAGCTCAGCGTGCGATCTGCCCGCCGACAGGGTTCTGACACACACGGGCCCTGGAGAGCATCGCAGACGCGGCCCGGCTCGACCCCCCCGCCGCGATGCCGCTCAACGGGGTCGCCTAATGGAAAACACACGGCTCGTAATACGCCTACAATTGATTTGCAATAATGCAATTCGGAGAAGCGCATGCGGCGCATTGACTCCCGGTTGTTCCCGTGGATCATAAACACCCACTCTCGCGTCTGACCGCCGCCTAAATGAGCGGATCGCAGATGATGTGTCTCCATCCATCCTAATATCTCTCCTCTCCACTTTGTCCCCCTCCTTACAAAAGGAAGTTGTCCATACAATCACTATTAGTTTAAAAGGCAGGTGGCAGGGTGGGAAAGCAGCTGCGTTGTGGGGGCCCTCGGTCCTCTCACCCTTTCTGTCTGCTGGAAATGCGATTTCCATCCGTTGGTGGACATACATCTCAGGCAAAGTCTGTCGGCCCCAATCTGTCTCCTGTGGGGGGGGGACACCTGGCAGACAGCGTCCACCGCGTCTGCTCTAATCGTTTGGTCAGATGGTTTCCCAGGTGCCAAGAGAGCTCCGAGTGTCTCCGCGTCTCCTTCAGCTGCCTCCGGAGGCTTCGCCGGGACGCGACTCAAACAACCCGTCCGTCCAGCGTTGCCATGGCGCCCTCCTTCAGACATCTCATCTCAGTCTATTTCTGACTAAGTGGGGAATCTGATTGTTTACTGCGTCCGTCAGAATTCATATTAAATCCTGCAATTTACGTTTCTCTATTATGAACGAAGGGCGCTTTGTAAACGGTAACAATAATAAGTAATAATGATGGTATTTGTCTCCCTCGCATTGACATGTTTTGAATCACGTTTGCGCCAAACAAGAGAAACGTGCCCGGAATGATACCAGATTTCTCTCATTGGTCTGGATAATTCACTGCAGCCCCCGTTTCCCTGTGACAGACAGTTTATATAAGCTGTCAGGGGAGGAAGAACTAGCAGCAATGATGGAGGAAAAACAAGTCGGAGCAGACATTTCGATTCGTTTGAGTCCCTTTACCCAAAAGCCGGTGGGAAGAGAGAGATTTAAACTACTGGCTGTCCCCGGATCCCCAGATCATCTGCAGCTCTATTGGTCTGAACAGTAACCACTTCCACCAGCGGACCTGAGGTCAGCTGAGTGGGTCCAACCGGGGACAGGAAAGCATCTCTAACCGTGACCCCGCTGACTGAGGTCAGAGAACAGATTCAGCCTTCTGACATTTGGGGTTTAAATGCCTTGCTCAAAGACAGGGAGGAAGATCTAGATTCACTGAGATCACTGGAAGTCCACAAGGGACACTGAGTAAACTGGCCTTTTTGGGAAAAGCAATTGGCTGTTCTATGAAATGATACAAAATGTCAATAACCTGAAGTCCAAGTAGAGATGTTAGAAGTATTTTTTAGTCAGACCAATAGCTTAAAACCCAAATATATATTTGAAGACTCGTAGATACTCGTTTATGGCACTTTGTAAAACGTTCTGGGTCCTTTTCTTATTGATTAATTGTTTCTTCCGCAGCTTAAATGAATAAACTTAATGTCCGAGTTGACAGCTCGACCCACCAGACGCCCGCCTGACCTTTATTTCGCATCTGTGCTGGAATTGACCTCGTGCGCTGACCTGAGAAAGCGGTTGAGGTCTCCGTGCCTCATGTACTCAAACACCATAGCCAGCGGCTCCCCGTCCGTGCACACGCCGTAGAACCGCACGATGTGCTGGTGCTGGAGCACCGTCAGCAGCTCCGCCTCCCTCTGGAAGTCCTGCCGGGTCGACTCGTTTGCGTCCTTCAGAGTCTGGTGAGCGCACAAGAGGAGAGGAGAGGAGGGGGGGTCATTCATATGAAGAGGCTTGTTATCAGGCTCGTAAATAGAAGTGAGCATCTGAAATCAGCTGCATGTAAAGCAACGGGTGCAGCACTTTTGCAATAAGCCGCCGTAACACGAGTTGCGTATTAGGGGGGCGAAAAGTAGCAAAGGTCCCGAGCCGGACTCTCCTGAACAGCATCGGGAGTGTCGCAGTTGATTTGGATAAATGAATAGCTGGTCGTCGCTCGTTCACTCACCTTGATGGCGACCAGCATCTTGTCGCTGTCGGGGCTGAGGTTGGCACACTCGGCCAGGTAGACTTTGCCAAAGGCTCCTTCCCCCAGCTCCCACTTCAACACAATGTCCTGCCTCTTAATGTTCTGGACACCTAAACATTGAAGTACAACAACGCTTTGAATATCCAGGTGAAAATGCGTTTCTGTTTGCAGCAAACTGGCTCAAGACCTCAACCCTTTAGTTGGCTTTTTTTTTGTCCCTTATCAAATCCATCTTGTGCTTTTTCAAATCACCAAACCAAAACAACGATAGATTACAAACATTCATGCAAAGAATTATGACGGAAACAAACAAAGAGCACTCTGACTACAGTGTCTCGTGTGTATTTAAAGTGACATTTACATCATTGCATCTCAGTACTAAGCACAAGCAGCGGAGCGGCAGCGAGTTCAGCGCTGACACTCACACATGTCTTTCTCCTTGATGATGCCGCAGAAGTATTGCGGGTTCTCCACGAAGCTGGATAGACCGGAGTCCTCATCCGAGGAAGGCGGGCTGGTCCCGAAGTTCATGAAACGAAGCGACACGGCCAGGTCGTCCTCGGTTCCCAAAACCGATGACCCTGGTGACACGGCGAAGAGATGCAAACGAGCAAAACTCAAGAGACGTGTGGCGACTAATCAACACTTGTGATTGCAGGCGGCCATCACAAGAAAATTCAAAACTCAATTTTTCTCCCAATGGAGGAATCAACGTCCTCTGCCGCCGGTTCGGCTGCAACGTTGGTCGGTGCCGTGGTGACAGATGATGACGAGCTGTAATAATCACCATCATCAACCATGCAGCAATCAGGACACATTGAAGGGAAAAAAGGAGGTGGAAGGGGGAAGGGAGGAGGGGGGGGGGTGTCTGAATGGTTGGCAACCCCTGACTACGGTGTGTATTAAAAGCCAAACAAGTGGGGCCCGAATTGTAAAACCCCACTCAGCAAGGCAAACCACAGAACCCCCAGAGTCCAACACGGTAGAAAATGGAACAACAAAGAGAGAGCACAGAAGCGATGGAGGAAAGGAAAGAGGGAGCAGGGCCCACTTAGGCAATCAGGCCCACTTAGGCACTTTTAGAGTGAGAAGGGTAGATGTGTGTGTGTGTGTGTGTGTTGGGGGAGTCCGAGTGGAGCTATATCAAGTCTAGCTGTTCCTCCATGCATCCATCCATCTTCTTTAATGGCCTTCGCCACGTGGCGGTGGCCAGGGGAGGTTTCTGCCGCCATTCTCATGCAGTAATTAAGGCACTTTAGGCCGGCCGCCACAGCGGCTACCGGCGTGCAAAGTTACAGCTCAGTGGAAGTCCTATATTAGTCGCTCTCTCCTGCGCCTGCAACCTTCTGAGAGGCTGACGGAACCTTCAACGATTTGAAAGAATCATTCGGAAGCGAATTTTTCCCTTTTTTCTGCCGACTTTAAAATGTCTAAATGACGCATGAATCAAGGGAGTTCACTTTCACGATTCTGTCATTCAGGTATGTTTGTTTGATTTGTTATTAGATAACAAAAATATATTCCAAAATGTGCGATGGGTTTTATTCATCTCCATAATTGCAAAGGGGTCACATCCAAATCCCAAAATACAAAAATCATCAGTCTTTGACTGTGCAGACGTCTTTACAGACCAAAAGGACGTGGTTCAACTTACGGTGGATACCAAACTTGGGATGCTGGCCACACTTGTTAATAACCAGAATCATGACGAGGAGGAAAGTGCAGGCGAACACGGCGAGACCGACGGCCACGAACACCTGTGCAAACAAAGACAGACCTCAAACTGATACTCACATACATAAATACACATATGTGTGTATATATATATATATATATATATATATATATATATTTGTGTTGGGGAGGCCGCTGAGACGTACCACGAACGCGCGACTCTCCGGGTTCTCTGTGACGTCCATGTTGGATTTGTTTGTAGGAACTGGGGGGCAGGAAGAAGATTTGTTTAGAGGGACTTCTCATCACGTCTTTGCAGTGCTGAGGACACATGCTGAGGACACATGCTGAGGACACATGCTGTTTTTTTTTTGTTTTTTTTAGGAGCGCATGAATCAAATGCGAGACTTACTCGGATTCACGTCGGGGACTGGCATGAGGGAAGCAAGAGCACAAACACGACCAGGGAAGATTTTAAAAGGGTGCCCCGAAAAAAAGAATTTATCAGACATATGTGTACACACACACACACACACACACACACACACACACACACACACACACACACACGGACACACGCAGTCTCAATATGAAACCTTTAGCAGAGGAAAAAACTGGGTTATTTTCCAATTATTAGTCTCTACTGAAATGGTGAATGATATTTTTTTTTCATGCAGTGGTACATTTTGAGATTTTTTGCCTCCACAGCATGTCTGCTTTACTGGGGAAAATCATCCAAAATACACATCTGGGCATTTCTAAACTACGGGTTTAACATTTAGAATAAACAAACAATAATCTAAGTAAGTAAGTATTCAACATGGGAAGTTTCACAGGGATCTTTTCATTCACCCGTTTTTTTCAATACGTATTTCATGTTTTCACAAAACATTTCTTTCAAGGGCGTTTTTTCTCAGAATGAATTCTTTCCTCAGAATACCTCCCCTCAGTGAGACCTACACACCCCGAGCTTTCTTGCTTCATTCCTATCTTTATTCTGAAGGTTTCAACAGAGACATTTGTTCATATCACATTGATACCCTGACAATTTATTTCTAATACCACGGCGCACCGCCTTGTGGTTTATGCCCGTTGCTGGTATTTTCTGCAGAAAAAAACCTGCACGTATGGAGCTAGAACTGAGTTGATCGCCTTTCAGTTAATTAGTATATTTTTAACACAATACCCTTGATGATGCCCAACTTTTAGTTTGACGCTATTGAGCTTCCAAAATTACATCCCAAAAATCCATAGAGGTATGAAGATAAAATTCCACTGAAGCAGTATTTTATATTGATGTACTTATTTATAAAGCTTCTTTTAGTAATCTGTCATTAATGAGTATGTATTAGTGTTCAGGAAACACATATTGTTTATTCTCAGATCTCTGACAGCTAATTATTACAAAACTTTAACTACAATGCCGACTTGTTCAGGGACATTTGATTTATCGTTTCATTGCTCGTTCATTCGGATGGATTCCTCTTTTAGCCGCACTAATGGCAGCTCGTCATGGGACGAGGAACTCACCTGGAAATATCCCCTCCGGGTCGAACGGGTCGAACGGGTTGTGCATGAACATCCCGTTGGCCGTGGCCTCGTCCCTCCCCAGCCGGTTCTGCGCGATCAGAGTGTACTGGCCGTTGTTGATGTGGGTGGGCTTGTTGAGGAAGAGACAGCCGTGCTTCACCGACCCGTCGCCCGAGTCGGTGATGAACTTGGTGTATGTGTACATGGACTCTTTGAGGTCGACGCCGTTGTAGCGCCAGGAGATCTGGGGTTCGGGGTTGCCGTCGACGACGAAGGGGAAGCACCAGTGGTGCTGCTGCACGGCGTCCTTCAGGTAGATGATTCTGACGGGAACTGATGGGATTGGGGGGGGTGGGGGGTGGGGGGGGAGATTTGGTTATTTTTGGGAAAGTCAACAAGGAAAGTGAAGAGATGGATAGTTGGGACATTTTGGGGAAGGAGCTTGTTTGCTTTCTGGCTTCGAGTTAGAGGAAAATTGATGATAGCACACAACACAGCCAGCAGACAGTTTAGCCTAGCTTAGCATAAGACATGGAACGTATGAAACGCTTCTAATTAGCGATCAAATAATAATAGATCATTTGTTATCTACTTTAATATCATTGTATATTTAATGCGTGTGGAAGCATGTTGTACAATAACAATTTAAATGATTTAAAGAAAATATATAAAGCAATTGCAATTTGCATGTGCAGCATAGTGGACGGGTGAGTGAGTTTCCACAAATCAATGCTCTCCATCTGTGCATCAAACCTGTGTTGACCTGCTATGAATAATGAATCCTGGTCGTCGTTGTGCCCCCACTGACCACAACAGCTACCTGGGAGCTCGGCGGGACGCGAGGTCACAGGAAACGGCCTCTGGCGTCTGGATCGAACACAACTCTCAAGTGCAGAGACCCCTCAAACCGGTCTGCTGCTCTTAACCCGCGACCCGGCTTCAGAAAGTGCTGCGCTGAGGGGATTCTGGGGGCCTTTCATGCCGAGTCCACCGAAGTCCGTCGAAGAAAATTAGCATTCATATTTAACTAATCATCCATTAGCGGCCTCTCCTAAACCTACACGAGCTATTTCCTTGCAGGGGGTTTTGAGAATTAGGTTTATTCGACTCTCCACCTCAAACTTTTGCATAAAAAAAAAATTGCCTTGCCCTCTTACTCTACCTTTTAATTTGAAATTACATCGCGAAAATCCACATGCTCTCCCATGAAAGGGCAGCCAAACGAGCGCCATGAATCAATGGCACCGTGAGCCACTCAGCAGTAAACACCCACTGTTCAGGGAGGTAATTAAGAGTAATTAAAGGGCTGGCGGTTAACGAGTGTCCGTCCACCAGGGGGGCTGATGTTGATAGATTAGCTGCACTAACGCATTTACAGACTGCCAATCACTGCGGATGAAGCGGTTTTTCCGGAGTAGGAGGGAAGGGTCCATTAGCACGGGCTCAAATCGGATCTCAGCGCGGGTTATCAGCCCCATTTTCCTGACGTTCATTATCTGTCCCTCGGCGCTCGTGCCTTTGGCCTCATCCAATTGGCGCCCACGCTCTTTTTGGCTTTATTTTCTAATGAGTGTCACAGAGTTTGTGATATACAATATTGTTTGGGCGGTATTCTTTTCCGTAATGTACCACTAATGCATCTGAGAATGTTTTCTGCGGAGCCGCCGGCCGCTGTCATTCCTCGGTGTGCCTCGACTCAAAGATGCGCTAATGCATCTGGAAAGAGGGAGAACAACAGCAAACCTCCCGGGTCAAGCTGCAAACTAGAGGAACAACGTCTGTGAGGTGAAGGACTCCTCTGAGAGCAAGTAGATGTAAGATCACTCTCTTTTGTCCTCTCATTGTATCCCTGCTTTAAATGACCAGCCGTACCTGCAGCACTCCACTCGTATTATTTTAACACTTTGCCAAAGTGAGTGGCAGATGACAAAGAGCTCCATTAGAAGCGTGGCGGGTACGCTCGTACTTGTGGAGGGGGGCATTTAGAAGAAATCAGTACAGTGCATTTTCCCTTTCTCCGGCTGTCCACCCTGCCTGCACTAGAGAAATGGCCCTGGCCTAACCTCCATTAAGCCCCGACGACATGCGCCGGGGCCGCGAGCTTTCAACAGCGCGGTCTTATTCCGCCCCCGGCACTTACACTCAATGTCCAATTGCACCGTGTCCCCCCCGGGTCCAGCTTGGTTCTCGGCCTCACAAGTCAGGTTGTGCAGGTTGTCGTTGGACGAGGCGTTGGTGAGGAACAGGACCAGCTCAAGAGTGGAGCCCCAGATTCTCTCCTGTCAGCAGTCAACAGGGCGGAGGAAGAGGAGGTTAATGCAGCCCGGTCACAGACCCGGGGGTCTTTTGGAGGAATGCAGGGTTACAGACAGCAGGAGTCGACAGGAGATAATTCCCTACCTGGGTGGAGAAGCGAGAGTTGAGCTCATCGGTTCTCCATCTCACATTGGGAGTTGGACTTCCTGTCACTTGACACGCGAATGTCAGGTTGCCCCCTTCTTGAATCGTTGAATCTTTGAAGGAGACAATGGTCACCTCGGGCAGACCTGGGAGCAGCAGAGGAGACAGCAGTGAGCTAAAGTCGTCGTACGAATGGGGGAAGACGGCCAAGCTTATTTTTCTTCTTTATAGGCGTTTACTGCAGGGCCAGAAAATCTCTTGTATGTTTCCTGGCAACAAGATGTTCCCCCTGTATGCGAGCCAATTTCTTCCCCGTGTTCCCCTTTCCACTTGTTGAAGGCATTGATATGCAGAAGTGGATCAAATGGTTATTATTTTTCCTTTTCAACGGTGACAAGCTGCGTGTTTTTCAATTGTTCACAAGCACCACATGAGAGAGAGAATTATGTCATGAACTGTGGAATAGAACATATAGCTGTATTCCATCCCTATATGTTTTACAAGAGAATAAAATGGCATCATTTTGATCAATAAATGAATTAAAATTCTTAATTTTCGCTCATTGAAATCTACATTTGGAAACTGGATTACTGGTCTGAGCATTTGCATCTCATTGCAGTCGTGCATTATTACTGATAACATTATATACCATCAAAAAAAAGTGGGGAAAAGAAGCCTGGCTGTGCACTCACTGCAGTTATCTATCACCAAGGAGCTGAGCAGCACTTCTCGACCATCGGAGAAACAAGAAAACTGTTGGTTGTCCGCGTAGCCGCGTTCGGTCCACTGCCACTGCTGCAGCCAGTGGAGGTCACATGAGCAAACCAGAGGGTTCTCCCTCAAAACCCTGAGGAGAAAACGGAGGAGAATAAGCTCTGCTGGCTACGAATCCAATTTCTTGCTCCTTTTGATGAGAAGGAAACACAAAAAAATGGTTAAATGGTAAAACATTTTAGATGAGTAACCAATGAATGGGTTTAACTGTGCATCACATACGTGCTCTCTGTATGTAAAAGCAAGACAGTATTGGCTTCCTTTATTGTATTTTTTCTGAGCACTTTTAAAATCACTAAAAATTGAAACAATTGGAAACAGGCAGCATTGATGAATCTTTGAAGAAGTTCACCTTTAGAAAATAACCTTTCGTTTCCTCTGACTTAAATTCTTCATGACTATTTTTTTTCTACGGCTTTCATGGACCCTTTTAGCTGTGCAGTAACGGGGGAAACGGGTTGCTTTGCACTTATAAGTTAATCGCTTTGTAAAAGGCAGCAGTAATTTGTTTTACAATAACTAAGTACTGTACGTTCACCCGTAAATTAACCTCTGGGAAATTTCGCTGAATGCACAATGCGATAAGACCACGAGAAGACTGAAAGGCCTCCCGACCCGAGATTAACCTTTACAATTAGCGTTTCATCCTTTGTGTTTTTACCTTGCTTCTTGCGCTTTAAACGATGCACATCATAATCAAGTCAGTGAGGAGGCACAAAAGCCTCTTTCTCACCGTTTCTCTCGGCGAATTGACATTCAACAGCAGCAGGACTTGTCATATATCAAACTGTGTTGAGTGATTCCAGTCGGACCGCGATAAGTTGTAAAGGCACGAAAGATTTTCTGCTTTGCAGCAAAAGTCAGAAGGTTCTCCACAGGTGGACAGGGCATAAAAAAAAAAAACTGAGTAATAAATATAATCTCGTGTATAATATTGTAAATTAGATTGCACTTTTGCACTTCACAAAGTCAGTGGGTGTTTTTTTATGTGGCTCATATTGGTTTGGTGCACGAAATAAGGTCAGAAAGACATTTTACCTTCTGTTCTGCAGCATTAAATATATTAGTCAATCCGGCGCTCGTAAATTGGGTGATACTTGACTACTCTGATTTGAACTTGAGCTCCTGGAAAATTGTACTTGCTTAAATGAAAAAGTAAGTTCAGATGGACTCACAGGTTGAGCAGTGGCAGAAAATGAAACACCCTCCAGGAGATGTGTTCCAGAGAGTTTGATGCCAGGTTCCTGTGAACAGAGCAGAGATACAAGACACATGATAAGACCAACATTTGTTTTTTATGTTCCATCAATATTCAGCAGTCACACTATTTTGCACAATCTATGGATGTATTTGAAATGACGTTAGCATGCACACCATCGTCTTTACATTTGAGCAAAAGTATACATATTTTGGAAACTAACTTTTCTTCCTGCTTCATAAAAGAAAAATCAAAGTAAAAATGTTATTTTGATTTTCCCGGAGTCGAGTGATTTGATTGCCCACTTTCAGAGCGTTACGCGTGCCTGCTTTGAATTACCCTCAGTGGAAAACGTTAATGCATCCAAATGGTTTCTGATCAATTACCTTTGGCAAGTATTTCACACCAGCCGGGGGCCGTGTTCACAAACAGCTGCAGCGCACCGCTCTCTGAGCGTCGGGTACATTAGGTGATTAGTCCACAGTCACAAACACTTCTCGGAAGAAGGGCGCAGCTCGGCTACACGGACCCACAAACTTTATTTATGTAGAAATGTATGCGTGTAGCAGTGAAGTTGTTTTTAGCCATGCTATCTTCATGGCTCCAGGAATGACAATGTCAGTCGAGGTCCCCAAAAGTTGAATCCACATGTCTCTGTATATTTAACGAGTTTGGCAAAAGATCCTCAGTTCTAGTTTATGCTCGCGACACATTTTAAAAACTTTTTAGGGATGTCAGAATTAACGTGTTAATCTATGTCATTAATGTAACCGAGATTAATGCGATAAAATATTTTAGCGCAGTCAACGCAATTTTTTTTACTTCCGGTGTGCAGGAACGCGAAACCGCTGCAGTCAGTTAGATCGGAGAAAGCAAGATGGGGAGAGCTTTTTGCATTGGAAGTAAAACGAACAGAGGCGCGACATACAGCGGAGAACTGTGCCGAGGAATTACTCCACGTGTCAAACAGAAGAGGGGTGAGGGACAAACGGACCACTTTAGCACCGCTAAGCTAAGCTAGCTGCTCGGCTGCCTCCATCTCAACATGTAACGTTACCCTGCGCGGCACACGGTCTGCAGACGACCACCACCGTGTCCCTAAAAAAACGTGGTTTGAAAACGTCCTGGATAAATGTGGGGAGATTGTTGGCACTTCAAACACAGCCGTTAAATGATGGCGAGTTGAGAGCAAAGTGCACGAAGACGGCAGGAAGAGCCGCTAGTTCAACATGATCCACCCGGTGGAATTCTGCCTCCAAGATGATCAAATGTGGGTGTTTTTGTTTAAAATACAATTAACAAACAAACCAGTGTCTAAAATACACTTACGCTGTCTATAGTTCTCATTACTTGTAAGTGTTTAGAAGAAAAACTAATCATAATTAATGATTTTCAAGATATGCGATTAATCGCATAGGTTAGGTTAGTCTTTTTTTTTTAATCTATTGACAGCCCTAATACATATAACATGGCAGTATATTCATTGTTAGACGTTAGCGTTGAGCTTGAAACCCCAGTGCGCTTGCTTACACTCATCAAGCTGTTGTTTATTTATCTTTAAACATTTAAAAAAATATTGAATTCATGTCATTATAATACATCATTGTTATCCTTTTCCCGGATGAGTGTACCGATCATTTTGCCAATCCTCAAAGGACACTAATCATCACATTGGCCCTCAAATGATCCTCCGACAGCCAAAGAACCAGCCTGTAAATAACCCTCCCCAGAAGATGAGAAAAAGCCTCACTGGGGAGCGCCCACATGGAAGCCAATACATATTCACCCTGGCAGGGCCAAGGGTTCAATTATTTGTTTTCCTTGCTCCCGAAAGTTCATGTCAGATGGGTGAGCCATTGGGACTTATCCATTACCAGCTCGATTCCTACCCGGGGGCCGGGGGGGGGCAGAGCCGGGAATATCGCAGCTCATTTTCTGTTCCGATTTTTTTATAAAGGATGATAGCGGTCCAGGAAGGTTTCGGGTGCAGCTGTGGGCAAAGTGGTCCGAGCCTCCACGTCAACTGCTTAGTTTGGTTATAGTCTGTCACACGGAAAGCCCCCTACGCTCCACACAACCCCACCCAAGCCCACCTTCTCCCTCCAAAGCAAAATATTGATTAAGTGATAATGGACCCTTAGTGGAGTGTATTTATTATGCATCAGTTGTCGATAATCCGCCAAAGTGAGCGAGTAAAAGGTGACTGGTGGATGTCTTCTCCAATTTCTCGAGCGCAACCCGCCCAGCTTTTCCACCGCCAGCTCCCCCTCACCCCCCCCCGCCTCCCTCATCTGTGGTACTCAAAAACATTGCTGTCTTTCAGATAAGCAATGTGGGGCATGTCGCACACGCTCAGAAAAACGATGAGGACAAGATGGAGACGATAAGGGTCAGCTGCTGCTGAAAAGACGGATTTGATGGTTCCAGCAGATAAGTATTACGTTTTGTTGGGCCTGTGAGAGGCTTAACTGATCACAAATGTAGAGGCCGAAATAAATCCTTTTAGAAATAATGAGTGAAAAGCTGGCTATTTAATGACCAGGCTGCCTGCTAATTGATTTTCTAGACGGTTCTATGGTACAGTAACAAGCAATTATTTTTTTAAATACAGAAGATATCCCAACTCCCCAAACCCCAAAGTAAAAATTGAAATTCCCCTCTATACTAAGTTGTTTAAACATGCTTCCCTATCATACAAACTACATGTTGTATTTTAGATATTCATCCAGAAAGAATACTCAAATACGTCTAATAAATGCAATTTGTGGTTTCAAAAGAGCTCACGCGTTTACCAGATCAACGGATGACGCGGTGGGAAATACAAAAGTTGCGGCCGAGTCCTGACTGACAGCGACAAATAGTCTGGTCAAAACAAACACACACACACACACACGAAACGCCACGTGGAGGACGACCGTGTTGTATTGACAAGGACACTCACACATACTGCAGCTTGAGGATGTGTTGGAAGGCGTTGGCAGAGATGAGCCTCAGCTTACAAAACGTGATGGTGCTGCAGAGGAGAAAGCACAATGAACCCTGAAGTAAAGAACTACAGGTGGTCAGATAGAGAGCGTGAGATCAAATAATGCCGCCATCATTCATTAATCTGGCAATATTTATAATATCAAATAATTAATAAATTATCTGCTATGCGAAGTGTCAGAAAACAGTGAATAATAGTGAATAACACTCAAATATCTGAGCTGTAACCATCTATTATTAAACTATTCATCGATATAACTAATCAATTAATTGACCACATTTTTCTTATCTAACAGCTTCTTATCTAACTTACTTGTATCTTCCTTTCACAAACCTCTTTATTGATGTAATGAGTAATGAATTTTTAGTCATTCAGATGGTGGACAACAATGTGTGTTGTCCACCATACACTTGTACTTTTCTGGACTTTTTGTGTGGGGCTGTTTTTCATGGTTTCAAGGCCACTTGGTTCTATTCAACTGGAAATCTGCAGCGCACCGGGACATTTTGGACAACACAAAGTGCTCTCAATTTTCAACGCATGATGGTTCAATCATAACTTAGCAACCGTAAGCAGGAATGAAAAGCATTGTGTACAAGGCTACAGTAGGATCAATTAGCTTTCATTACTTACATAGATTGGTAAATATAAAAGAAAAATAGAGCTACATTTCTATACCTTTGCCCCTGAAATGAACAAACCGATTGTTAAAAAAATGAAGCACTTTGAGGGTTAAATTGGATATATTTCCTTTGCACTATATCAGCTGGACCAGAGCAGAAAGCTTGATCGGCATAGCAACCGTCAGTAAGGGAGGGGGGATTGAGCGGTCAATTGTATGGAGTTACATATTGTATTGAGAATTAAAAGCGTTCGGTCCGGTGCAGTGAACGCGTATTAGGATATGTGAAAAGTCAAAGTGATGAACATTTGTATTTGTTGGTTTGTAAGTGAGAGAAGCGTTACTTACAGGTTCCTCAGCTCTCTGTAGTTGACGAGATCAATGTCTGTTATGTTCTCCAGGGTGGCTTGGTTTTCTATGTAACTGGTTAATAAAGGAGAGAGAGATGCCAGGTAAATACATTTCATTTTAATCAATTCATTGAAATACACCCTCCAAAAAAAAGAGTTACAGAAACAAGTGAAGGAGATATATCTGCTTTAGGGTCATAGAAGGATGAAGAGTTCATAATTCACGGCGTTCCAAGCAGACAAATTATTACCTGGAGTTGGGAGAGGAAGCACTGGGAGTGAGTGGGGATTTCAAACGATACTTGTGTGAGTCAAATGAAAGCTTAGAAGATTAAGCATCAAAGACGGAGGGCAGCATGCAGATTCAACCCCCACTGACCCCGCTGACCCCCACGGAACCGACAAATAACAAAACCAGCCGAGACGCCCAAGGCTTCGGACAACGACGCGGCTCCTATGAGAACTTAATGTACCGCTCATATGGAAAATAAAGCACAACGCCTCAAGAGACGGCGGGTAGACGAGGCTGATGGGAAAGTCTTCTCAGGTAGACACATTTTCCACTTTCTCCACACACGGCCTACCTCAGAATAACTAGCGAGCTGTGGATCAATTGAGCACTCAACGCGAGGACAGACCGCTCTTTTCACGGGACGTTTGAGGAGATGTGCGGGATCGGAGCCGCCGAGCGGCCAGGCGTCCGCCTGCCACTCGAACCTCTAACGTGAACAAGGACTCTTCATTAAGTGGACTCAAATGGAGAAGGGCAAGGGGCTCGCCTCCAGACCTCTCCTCAGCACATAACCTTGGAAAAGCGTAATTAGAAGAGATGATGGAGATAACGTGATTTTTCCACACGACCCCGATGGAGGAAGATAATATCCAAAAGGATACGATGAGAACCTTTCAAGGTTAGTTTGTTGGCATCTACCCGGAGGGCGACATCTTATTCAGCTGATTGTTGGCCCCGCCTTGATTAGTTTCACCTGTCCTGTATAAAATACATATATATATATATATATATATATATATATATATATATATATATATATATAAAGCGCATCGTGTGGAGACGGCAGGCCGAGAGCAGCTCACTGGTTCATAGCGTGTGAAAGAAAAAGTGGTATGAGTTGATAGATACAGCACTTAATTAATCCAATACTATTTGGGGGGACCCCCCCCTCCCCCAAATAGTCTAAGAGTGTTTAGAGCATATGCCGAAAACAAAAATACCTACAGTCATTTTAAGTTGATGACTTCCAGCACATTGTTTCAACCCTTCCAGTTGTGTGTTTGTCAGCTGCAACACACAAACCTTTTTATTCACGTGTGATTGACCCACACAGCAGTAATGTGATTACGAGGCAGGTGGGCCCCCCAGGATCAACCATCGCCCCTTACTTATTGAATTGAGCCGAGCGGGGTTGTATATCATCTATTGTTCCCGGGTGGAGGCATTGACTGGCAATCCACAAAATGAAATTTATACCTCGGCTCGTGAGAAATCTGGGCCTCCCGTCCACGGTTTAATCCCCCCCCCCCCCACCCCCCCGTTCCCTCCGCGCACCGGCTGCGCTCCCTCGCGCCGCCAATACGGCCGAGTGTTGTTGTTTTCGGGCCGACATGTCAGGCGGCAGAGAAAGGCCCGCTGGCTTATTGATCGGACGGTTCGGTGGGGGGGGATGTCGAGCCTCACTCTGAGCTCCCCGGCAGGGAAATACCTCTGCGATGAGAGCGGGGCGGCGAGGAGCGGGTACAGGTGAACAGAGGCAGAAAAAAGCAGCGGCAAATTGACCCGCTCTCCACTGAAATAGCATTTCGCATACGTAGCTCTCTTCCTAGCAAAGTGCTAATTGCTCAGATCTGAGGACCGGAACAAAGAGAACAGCGTGGTGGAGCACGGAGTGACATTTAGTCATCCACGGCGAAGTTGATGGTGGGTTGCATAATAACACAGCAGCCGGGTTTAAATCACAGGTGGTCAGTTTTCTGCTTCCTTTTTCACAAAGAGTTTTAAAAAGGCATTGTTAATTAAATGACAGTCGTGTGCTGTGCATGTGCCGCGGCAGAGTGAGAGGTCTTTCTTCTGAGCAATAACTGAATCACTGAAAAGAACCACAAAGAACCAGCTTCCAAACCTCCGGCAACAAGCGGCCGTTTGCTTCTCCTGTGGAGCATCGGTCGGACAACCGGAGAGGAATCGGGTGAGAACAAACCCGAGGTACAAAACGAGGTTTCATATAAAAGGAATTCATATTGGTGCTTTAATCCCAAATCCAGTCCAATCCTCCAGTCCGGTCGCGTGCTGCTGAGATTACAGGAAGGCCGTGTGTTTGTTCATGAAATGTACTTCCGAAGTAGTGAAGATGCATCTCGTCCTTTAGTAGAATTTGATGTCAGAGTTTATGAAACTGTCCTTTGATAATAACTTTATTATGTGTTTACTCTATTTGGACTTTGATGCTGAACATATAGCAGGTTGTCTCTGAGTACTGTTTGACCTCTTGGATGGCTTGAAAAAGGTTATTTCCCCCCAAAGTAGGACTCAAACCACATTCCTGATAAAGCCGATCTTTTGAGGGCTGAAAAATAGATACATTACCACTAGAGATAATCTTTGTAAAGTGCTTAGTTTTAAAGAAAATTACAATTTGAAATCCAGACAAAGTCCAAAAACCAGCGCCACAGCCAACAACTGAAACAGCAATTATTCAGTCCATCCCTTAAACTTGTATCTTTCATAACATGTGAACAACACGCCAAAACTGGAGTCTTCTTCTTTTCCACAATACAAAAGAGACGAGTGGTGAGATCCTTTAAAGGGCCCGGGGCCACATGTTGCAACACAATGGATAATAGGACATCAGTTCCCGTCACTCTGTGCCCGTTATTGTCCCTAAGAATCCATAATTGATTTCCAATGACCAGAGTGACGAAATGAATGCCGTTCTAATGTATCTCCAGCAGCAGTAAATTTACTCTCCATCAAGCAGCCTCTGGACGAAGAAAAACTTCTTTCAGCTACAGCAGGACCCCGACTGCATCATATAATGAAAGTAAACGAAGCCCTACGAGCCGAGCAGACAATTTTAATCTCACTGTCGAGGGAAAGTACTTAACTGTTGAACCATCATCTTCGTCCCTTACTAAACGCAGTCGGAAAACACTGCTGAGAACAATCTCTCCTTGCGGAATGAAAACAGACCAAACAAGGCGATAAATTACTGCAACAAATAATGAGAAATGAAGAAATGCAAATCAGCACACATTGGAAACCCATCACACATTAGTAGCAGAAAACAAAGAAAGTAGAACAACTTTTTTGTAGAAACATTCCTCTTGAAAAGTTAATGATAACTACATTTTAACAGCTTGGAATATATTAAGAGACTGAACTGGAAAAAACACTGAAATAATTCTCCTAAACTGCAGACATTTAAAACCAAAACTCTACCATTCAGACAACCAATGGCTGCTACCATGAACACAAGCAGACAGCGTCAAGCTTCTGCCAACCGCCGGCATCGAAGGCGTCTGATTCAGAGCAGGTGGCACCTCATACTCACATCTCCGTCACATTCTCGCTCTCCTGCGGGGCCAGCGACGGGACGCCCACGATGCCGTCGGGCTCCAGGCACTGCAGCATGGCGAAAGAGCACCGGCACGCCGCCGGGCAGCCCCCCGAGGCGGGCGCCGGAGCCAGGGCGAGCAGGGCGAGCACCAGGGGCAGGAGAAGCGCGGGGGCCCGCGGGGCCACTGCCATGCTGGCAGGGGAGATCTTCTCAAGTGTCTCTGCGCTGCACTTAATGAAGAGTCGGCAGCGAGGAGAGGAGGTTTTCACACACGCCGTGGATCTCCGGCAGGGCTTGAGATCTCCAGCTGGTCGAGGTCTGAGGCACAGCTGTACTGAGCAGCAGGAGGGGCAGGCAGGCAGGCAGGCAGGCGAGGGGCCTCTTGGGACACGGTGGTAGTGGGCTGCAGCCTCTCTCTTTCTCCCTCTCTCCTCCACTCCGATGGAGGGAGGGGCGAGACGACACGGGCCGGAGTCACCAGACACCTCCGAAAGCGAGAGGGGGAGGAGGGAGGGGTTCGGGGCGAAGGGTGTGTGTCGATGACGATGAAGGGAAGAGATATGGTGATGGAGATCTCATCTGCTTCCACCGGTCTCCTACCGTCCCTCTCCCCCGGGGGGGGGGGGGGGGGGAGAGGTGTCCCGCACAGCAGCCCGAGGAACATGCTGAGCCGAGAAGGTTGCTTGGATGCACGCGGGAAGCGTTCCCGCACTAACGCTGTAAACAACATGCTGCCGTACGCTGGGGTGGATCTGTCTGTCTTGGACAATCAGCCCTTTGGCAGGTTCGGCATTGTTGAGACAGGAAGTCAATGGCTGTGGCAAAGTGGGGAGGGGTGGGGGACACCCGCTATCCACAGTAAGCTTTTTCCAACAGCACCCCAAGCAGGATTTAACAGCAGGAAATTAAAGCAAATAACCCTGATTCTTTGAGTTTGAAGCGTGTGAACCGATCTGCTGTTCTTCCTCCTTCACACTTTGCTTTTCAGAGCATTAAACTTCTCAGAGATCGGCCTCCCTCCACGTTGTGGAGCTTGTTGAGCTGCAGGAGAAACCCTGCGAGCAGATGCACTCTACGCCGACGGTGCTTCCAGTTCTGCAACTGCTAACATTGCTATGTGTTCTTTACGTGAGCGGAGCCGGGTTTCTTCCCACGGGACAAGTACTGTGCCCCTCCTCCAATCCTCTCAGTCACTCTGCACATGAGTAAGGTCATGGTGTCCCGACCACAATTACTGGCCATAAGCTGAATAGCCATTTTTTGCTGCCGTCGTCAGGATTATCCGGTGGACTTAATTACTCTTCCTTTCACGCCCCTTTTTTCGTGGTCTTAGCTCAGCAAAAACTGTAAAGGGACAACGCACTTGTTTGCAGGAACAGGGTTTCGGAGCTTAGGCCGACCAGTTAAAAGATGAAGAAGTCAATGGGAAGCATTAGCTGGGACGTGTAATTAACAGCAAACAGGCAAAGGAGATCATGTGTTCATGGTTTCACAAGTGCTTCCTCTTTTCCAGCTTTACTGTGCACCTTTTATGTAAGATTCATGTTGCTCTGTGAACAGATGACAGTTTCACACTTGTATAATATGCTTAATGCAGAGAGTCAGCACCAGACATTTCACACACCCTCAGTAAATCCTGCATTTCATTCTATTTTTCATTTCCCACCTGCCTTGCATCAGATGAGAGATGAAAAAAATGTTTTCTCCTCAATTAGATCTATTTATATTCATACTCTAGAAACTTTCGATATGCACCTCCGGTCATCTGGGACACAATACGTCCCGATAAGACAATGACCAATCAGGTATCTGCATGCACCAACCACACACATGTCGTCAAACGGAGGTCCTTGGTAACTTAAAAAGTGAATAATGGTAAACTCAAATATATTATTCTATTTCTCGTATCTTTCCAAACTTTAATGTCTTATTTCTGGGTGGCTTTTGTCTCCTGGGCCCGATTTTTCAAAAGTAATCCACTAGGATTTTGGATAATGGATTGGTTCAAATCTTGAAAAACGATTTTTTTCAAAGAAAGGACGGATTACATAATCGGATTAGATCACGTAATCCAATCTTGGTTTTGATTCAGATCAAACCTTTAGTTTGGGTTTTTCAGAACTTTTTTGTAGGATTTGGATCACTTCCAAAAAATCTGGATTAAACTGATCCCATCAGGGGCCGGTATTTCAAAACTTGTAATCCAGATCAGAATGATCCGGATAACCAAATCCCCCCTGTCCTCAGTCAACTTGATGTATCCCGGTATTTCAAAGTTGAAAGAAGAGCTCGGCGATCTCAAATAAAGCCGAGTTTGCGCTAATGCGAGCTAACGCTGCTCCATTGACTTCTGTGTTAAGGAGCTAACAAGTTGGTAGGCTAGCGTCTGTATGTGGCGGTCCACAGTCCACATTTGAATGCATTTACTCGCAAGGCATTGTGTGTGTATTTTAAAATGTGTTGTACATATCTTTTTAGGAAACAGTTGTCAACTAAAGGCACAGCCCTAAAACCTTAATATATGTTTTTCTTTACAGATGTCTGTGAAAAGACAAGACAGCCAGTTAACACAGATCTGCTCCAAATGGTATAACCTTTTGAGCTTTGGCTATGAAAATTAAGTGTGTGTGCTGCATGCATGTTAATAAATACATTTGACTGGTTTGAGTGGAGGCCTTTATCAGTGGGTATAACTTAAGAAAAAACGTACTTAAATAAGGCATTCATATTCAAACTTAAACATAGAAATAGCAGTTTTTCAAACAAAGAATTTGGGGAGCAGTTACACTTAAACTGTTCAAACCATATCATGTAATCTCCCTCAAATCCACCTCTGAGGTGGGATCAGGGTAATCCTGATTTTTAGGATCAAACTGATCCAGATTTCCCACTAAAGTTTTGAAATACTCAACAGCAGTGTTTTATTCGGATCAAAGGCAGGATTGGATTACCAAATCCGAATCTGAATCTTCAGGATCACATTTGCTTTGAAATACCCGTTTTTAGGATCTGATCAGGATTTAATCCAATCCAGGAGGATTAATCCTGTGTGATCATTTTGAAATACCGGCCCCCTGAAGGGTGGATTCAGCGTGGATTTTATGCCCAAAATGTAATGAAAACTTAAAAAATGTATCAAATAATACTATATTTGGATCATGCAGTATCTTATAAGATATCCTATTTATTCATACGGTTTCAATTTTATTTGTTCATCCGTCAGGCTACAGTGATTAGGTAGGCTTTAACGTATTCAGCCTTTCAGTATAGGCCTACGGCAAAGTAGAAAGTGTTTGGCCTAATAAAATATTCACCCAAACAGCTGTCAAAATTGACCAAAAACAATACATTTTATTCTGTCACTAATTGATATATATATTCATCACAATCGAAAATATTTTTGTCTTTAGAATATTTATTAGTGATGCGTGCAATGATTACAGAATAACCAAAAAAATGCAAAGAATGGCAATCACTGATTTTTGAAATCCAAAACAAATCCAAATCAGAAATAGTGTCTAACTAACAAAAATGTGCTCATTTCTGTCTGTCCTTCTTATTTCCATTGCACACGATTCATTTGCAGACAATACTATTTCCAAGGGCCATTTCAAAATGTTAAGCCCCCCATCATTTGTTAGTATTGTAGACATTTAACAGATAATAATGGCCTTGTGTCTATCTGGGTATTTAATTAGATTACTGTTTTAATGCTCTCCGCTGATTGATGGTCATAGAAGCGGTTAATTGCAACACTTGGCTTTTGAACCAATGGGGCCAAAGATAAATGCTCGGTTTGGTCCTCCCGGGGAACAGACACAGTTGCTGTTGCATCCTGTGTTATAGACATGACCATGTTACCAGCCGTGTCTCCACCATGTGTCCCTCACTTCCTCTCCATATCTGACTGGAACACACACACAAACATGCAACGCACAGTATACAAAATCAATCAATCCATACAATGAGACCAAATGATAAGGCAACAAATCCCATGACGAGAGTCCTAGATTGAGATATTTTCCCTCCTACCAAAGAGCCCCATTGTTGACAAAAAACTATAAAAAATAAAAAAAACGTCATTGCACTTGGTATCATGTTCCCTCATTAACGTGAACATGGATGCTGTAATGTTCCAGTCAATCCCACATACATTGTCTGGACAGCAAATCATTTTTATATACGCAAATTAAAATACTCAAACAGCAGTACTCACTTAATAATAATAATATTTAATATCAAACATTTCAAAACCTACTGAATGTATTGCCAAAAATGAACAGAAAGTCAAAGATTCTAGATATCAATGTTTTTTTTAATACAACTTTTCAAATATCTTGTGAAAAGTCCTCATTTGTCCTGCAATTTCTGACGAAAACCACACTTCAATTTCTGCTTGTTTCTTCTTCTCGGGCCACCATCACATTTACATTGAAACAATTCACGAGAGTTTTAGTTCACCTTTTGTATTTGTCCAATATGATGTTAGTGTTATCATTTTGCTTCAAAGAGCAGTTGCAGTTTTTTATACCCTTCTACAATCAAAATGAATCAAAGCATATCTACAAATAAATTATTGAAGCCACTTAACTTACACTCATTTCACTCTTGTCAACTACATTATAAAAGTGTCAAACTGTCTTTCATCCTATGACAACATACCTTAAATAGACTTTTGAGGCGCTCAAAACCTTTCTGTTAGCTTTCATGTGATATGTATAAGGCACATCTGAGCAGCCAGAGCATTGATTATTTAATCAAAAGGTTTAAATAAATGACACTGACGATGTAAAGATTTCTGTTTTTTGTAGTTAAAACCACTTGGGAATAAAAGGCAGCATATTTTCGCCATCCTGCAACTTAAATCTACGTCTTGTGAATCCCCAAAAGTGTGGAAATAAATGATTGGAGTACATATATTTATTAAACCTTTCAACAATCCCCTTACTTTAAACGCATGTGCTCTCTGTTATCTTCAGGGAAGTGGAAGCCTTGGTTGGATCAACAAGAGGTTGAGGTAGCAATTTTAAAAAACTCATGAGAACATTATTCAAAGTAATGGCCCTCTTTCAGTGTTTTTTCTATAATCAGTTGCTGCTGCATTGAAAAGCCTGTAGTCCTGATAAATAATGTCTTGGGTATTATTGTTTGTCCTCTGTGTTCTTTTGTTAAACATGTCTGCAGTTACAAGAATACTCAAGCTTTGCTATTCAGTCTCCAACCTCGTCATTAACGAAAGTGCCTTTCATTCTGAATTACTTACTTTAGAGCAAATGTAAAAATACTCTTTTCATACTTTATCCTTTAAAATAGGAGCAAAATATTACATTTATTTATGTTAAATTAAGGCACTGAGCTTCCATGTCGGTTGGAATGGAGTTATCAGCTTTAACTTATTCCACGTAATACATATGTGTAAAATGATTAGGGCTGTCAATAGATTTTAAAAAAATGAATTGCACATTTTGAAATTCATTAATCTCAATTAATGACGATTCATGAATGTTGTTGTTGTTACAATGTTGTTTTTAATGAATTTGTGTTTTTCTTGAGTAATCACTTTAGAAAACCTGCATTTTAGACACTGTTGCTTAATTGTTAATGTTATTTTAAACACAAAACTGCACACATTTGATCATCTTGGGGGCAGAATTCCACCGGATGGAACATGTATAACTAGCAACTCTTCCAGCTAGCTTAGCCTAGCAGCTAGCTTAGCATAGCGGTGCTAGAAGTGGTCCGTTTGCCACTCCCCCCCCCTTCTGTTTGACACGTGGAGGAATTCCTCTACACAGCTTTATGTCGCGCTGTTTGTTTTACATCCAATACAAAAAGCTTTCTCCATGTTGAGCTACTCTCTTGCTTTCTCTGATGTAATTGACCGTTACGTTTCCACGGTCGACATCCGGTTTACTAAAACGTAGAAATGCTGAATGAAATGATAAACTGGTCAAGATTTGATTGATTTGATTTGTAAGGTGACTTAAACATTGGTAGCCAAAAGTCAATAGATAGGACTACTATAACACAATATGATGTGTTAAACAGAATGTGTGGTATACACATTTGTACATATTCTGCAATATAAAATCCATTTTAGAATCAACGTTTATTTAGTTTGGATTGACAGATTATATATATATATATATATATATATATATATATATATATATATATATATATATATATATATATGAGTCGATTTCAGTGTTGTTTTCCGTGTTTAATTTTGAAAATATCGTTTTTTTTTCATGGTAACCACCTTTGGCAGTGGTTACCATGGAAACCAGCAATGCATCTTTGAGTTTCAGTGAGAAAAAGACACCGGATCACCTGTCAGCTTCAACTTCATCGACACAGACAACAGGTAAGACCAGAAACGAGTTCCCTTCAGTCGTGACCGTTCCCTCTACTTCTTGTCTCTATGAGGGTTGAATTTATCAAACTTACTGCTATATTGATAACAAAAGCATCTCCTTTGATTTTTATGCACAGGATACATTTTTCTTTTCTATGATAAAATAAAAATATAAACATTATCAACTCTTGGGAACGCCTGTTGAATATATTTCATTGAATATAATATCATAGATAGACATACTTATTTAACTTAATTAATGGTTGGACTGCAGTTATTTGAAAGATCCACAACATAAACGTGCAGGGAACAAAGCCTGTGAGTTGTCTTTCAGAGTCAAACTTGTCTGACTTGGTCATGTCCACTTGTTTATTCAGGTTTTCTTTGTCTTATTGTCTTCACCAGAAGAAAAGAACAGACATTTAGAAGAGAAGACAACCATCAAGATGAGCTCATCAGAGGTAAACTTTGACTCCTGGATAGATCAGCAGGAATCTTGGATCCATGTTTTCTCCCGGATAGACTGGGAACATTTAGATGGTTAATATGTTTGTAACTGTGAATATAATATATATGTATCTCATTTTGCACCTTCTTTTCCTGGTAGACGCAGCAGAGGCTCATGGGTACTGTGGTAGATAGACGGAACATTTCACAGCTTTAAATGTAAACAGTTTCAATGTGTCTTGTTCATTTCCAATTGTCGTGAGTACACGGCAATTGGAAATGGTCAGGAAATGGTCAGCTGAAAGTAAACATTAACCGAAACTGTTGCCTAGCAACCCACTCCTGCTGAATGAGACAAAACAGACAGAGGATGAGCACAGGTATACAGGTATACATTTTATAGTGGAACCCCAAAACATGAGTATGAACCTGGACATGAGCACGCCAGGTGTCCTTTGATATTGTAAAATATTTGTTTTGGGGTACGATTACTGGGATCCACCAATTAATATCCTGTGACACTCTTTCCATCTGTCTTTGTCTGAAATAATTTTACTTCCCAACAGACATCCACAAATCCAGCCGGACCTCGTGGGGAGGGTGAGGAGAGTCTCACCGGGGGGCAAGTAGATCCACGTCAGTGTGCTGACACTGTGGAGAAACCACACTGCTGCGCCTCGACCTCCTCAGAGCATGACGGAGGAGGCCCCTCCACCTGTGAGGCCCATCCAGGAGAGAAGCCCTTCACCTGTGAGGCCCATCCAGAAGAGAAGCCCTTCACCTGTGAGCAGTGTGGGAGGAGTTTCTATCGAAAAGGCGATTTGCAAACTCACCAGCGGATCCATACTGGTGAGAAGCCCTTCACCTGTGAGCAGTGTGGGAGGAGTTTCCGTCACCGTCGGCCTTTCAGGGAGCATCAACACGTTCACGCTGGAGAATAAAGTGAGGCTCGTGAGTCTCTCTTTGGTGGGAAGCTTCGACCTGGACTGTCTGTATCTCTAGTTGTTCTAAAAAGTCACGTGATATCAACAAGTTGACATTAAAAGATCATTGACGTTTATTCTGCATCCAACTTCAGTGGTCATTTATTGTAATAATGCTCCATTGATGTACAATCAGCAGCTAATACACAACCCACAAAACACTCTCATATGAGTAAAAGTCCTGCATAAAAAACCTGAATTAAAACTACAACAAAACATTCATGTTGTTTTGATGCTAGTGTTCTCTGTGGACTGGAGATTTCTCCAGAACAGCAGCTGGAGGCTTAGCTGAAGGAGGTTCCTGTGAACCTTCTAGATTTTATTTGATTGCATCATAATGAGGAGCCAGAAGAAGAACTGTATGTAGAAAGAGACTCCTTTGTGATGGTGTCTTTTACTGATAGAGGTCATATAGAGGGTCAGCATGAAAGTGAGACTGATTCAGAACCACTTTAAAGACCCACACTATACCTTTAAGGTAAAATAACTATTCAAAAAGCCTCCTGACAAAGCTGTTTGTCTTTTTAGAAACACAATTTAATGAATTCATAAATCATCATTGTCGTAGACTAAGCTAGCCAGAAAACTCCACGATTGACCAGAGATGCACCAACACAACTTGTGCCCAAGAGAGAAGCTGTGTCTGTTTGGAGGGTTTTCGGTTTTGGAAAATTCGACGTAAGTTAACGTTAGATCAGAAAACGATTAGCCGCTGTCGTATACCGGGATACCACCAGAATCTTTTAAAATATCGTGATATGAATTTTTGGCCATACCGCACAGCCCTACCAGGACAGATGAGCTGGTCTTTTCTTCAGAGCCGCAATTATTTTTCCGCCACTGAAGTGTTTTCCAATCCAATGTTTTTGTATCACCCTGTTCATTTCAGTTGGCAGTGCTATTTACTGGTGATGCAGCGTGGCCTTTTAGTTTTTGTCCCTCATAGTGTGAACATTTTGATAAGTAGCAGCCACACTTTGCCCTGACCGGTTCACACTACAGGGATTTTGTGCATCCATGTGCTTTGGAACCACTATGTCTTCCTATCATTAGAAATGTTCCACAAATGCGGGAAAGTAATGGTAAATGCAACAGACAAACCACTCAGGATCCATTTAGCTCCCAAAGAGACCCTCAACAAGCATGTGTACAAACTTTTTTCCAAGTCCGAGGCCATTTCTTTACTTTTATTTACTTTCCTGATTTCTCAGCGGCAACATGAACACAACGTTGAATCAAACCATCTAGAGACTCTAAAAAGAACACGGACCTTTAAGCTTCCATCCTGCCACAATGCAGCTAAAATAGTGCAAACAGCTGTCTGTAAACCTCAAATCAAAACAAGGGGAGGCCAAAGGAGTAAAAAAAAACACCATTAACTAATTTATTTAAAATGCATTTAATTATTTTCTTTTAACTAACTGATCTCCATCTGACATCTGCAGAGAGATGTCCCAGTATAAACCTGAGGAAAACCATAATGGAAGACCAGTCATGTTAAGGTCACACGGCGGCACATGTCCTCTGTCTCATATCAGATGAGGAGACGTTGGGTACAAGCTAATGGAACAAGATACAGAGACTCTGTGTAAGCCAGCGCATTCGCTGTCTTTATCTACAGATCTGGACATCACAAGCCCAAACCTCTCGTCAGACAGAATCCTCCCCTCCCCGATCGATACACCACCGAGCAAAACACCGGTGTTGAGTAGAGCCGTCTCAAATTCTTCATCACCTCTCCTCTGTTTCTCTTTTTTTTTTTTTACATCACCCAACCTTTATCTGTAGCTGGATCACAACACGCAGCCAGTAACGCACAGACCAGTGTGTGTGTGTGTGTGTGTGTGTGTGTGTGCGCATACACTGACGAGTGCTTTAATATGTTCCAAGCTACTGTATGAAAGTTACAGTCCAATTACAGTCCAGCGTGCTTGGGCATGTGTGCAGATCACAGGGGTAAACCCAGAATCAATGGGTTGAAGGGGTTTTGTGTGTGCATGTGTGTGTGTAACCAGATCTGCCCGTCTCAGCCCCTCATTAGCAGCCGTGCTGTGGACACCAGAGGCCTTTGAGGGCCTCATGCAGATGAGCGGTAACTCGAGGAGCTGTGTTGGGCGCTGGTGAGTGAGACAGCAGCAGTTAGCTCATAAGCTAACGAACGAGAGCGTCTCCTCCCCGTCTTCTTCCACCACTCTGTCTCCGTCAAACCTCTTATTTGGTGCCTGGTCCTCGTCTCTTTAGGTGTCTTCACCTTGCTTTTTTTCCATTATCTCCTCTCCGCCGGTTCGCTAAGAATCACATTTCTTTGTTGTCGCTATTTGTCGTCCAGTCAAACTTGGTTTTCTCGCACAGCAACACTATTCATAATAAGTTCCATCCACCTGTCTTTTTCATATTTGGATAGATTGTCATCTTATTACAGTCCAGCTTGCTTGGGTATTTGTGCAGAACACAAGGGTAAACCCAAAATCAATGGGTTGAAGGGGTTTTGTGTGTATGTGTGTGTGTGCCTGTGTAGATCATTTTGCCAATGCGAATGTTTATTGATAGGCCGAGGAGGAACAGTTGGTGTTGAAAATGTGAAAATGCAACGCACTTGGCCGATAAATAATGGGGACCATTGTGCCAGTGACTTAAACGTCCAATGGAAAGACAAAGAAAGGCTGCATGTCACGGTGTGGTTTCATTTCCTGTCTTATTTTGTAGTTTTCTGCTTCTTGTTTCCCTGGCTATCTTCACTTCCTGCCTTGTCCTGTCATCGTCTGTGATTGTCTGATTGTTTCCACCTGTGTCCAATCACCTGCACCCCCCTAGTGTATTTAAGCTGTGTGTGTCTCCTGTCACTTGTCGCGTCATTGTCTATGGTCCTGGATGTCATTGTCTATGGTCCTGGATGTCATTGTCTATGGTCCTGGATGTTCCTAGTTCCCGTCTGCTGTTTTTCCCCAGTTCCTGTGTGTGTTTTTGCCCGTTGGCCTTTGCTTTGTTTCCTTTTTGACTATTAAAGTCGTTTTTGCTTTTGAACTCGCATCCCTGACACAGCAGTCCTAAACTGACCTGGATTGTGCCTTAATTGAACGTATGCAACAAAATATATTTTCCTCATGTTTTCTACATTGTTTTCGTTCATGTAGAGGTTAGACCGACTCAAATTGATATCAAAATTCAAATTAGCCTCTGGTCTAGACTCTACAAAAAACTCTAAAAAATGAGGCAATTGCTATGATCATAATTAATGTGTTTGTTACATCTCAGATCCTGCAGGCAGAACACGATGAGGAGCCTGACAGTGCTGATCCACAGCCTGGGTCACTGCAGAGGGGCCATGAAGGTCTTGCTGCAGGTCTTCTTCTGGACAGGAAGAAGCAATGAAGCTACCTACATGCAATGTCTTTCAACTGGCTTCATTTTTTCCAATTGACATACTTGATGCACATCTCATGTGTTTATTCTTAAACAAGTGTGCACTTTTAGATAATCACAAATACAACACAGTAAATAGATAGTTGTGTGTTTATTTTGCTCACTCACGTTATAATAAGGTGAAGTATAAAATGATTCTGGAACATTTTGTTTGTTTTACTAAAGAATAAGCACAAGTTAAACACATCATAACACAGAACCATGCTCTTGCCAACAACTATTTAACACATACTGTACATTACACTCTTATCAAATCCTGCACCACACTTAATGGCAGTTTGCAGGAGTGTTTAAAATATTCATAATCTTTAATGTGGGCTGCTTGGAATGTGATGGTGTCTGTGCAGGCACTGACACTTGGGTAACATGCACTGTGGTTAGGCATGGTGTTCAATGATACCATTTCACAGTAATTCTGAATGCTCGCCCATCTTCCAAAAGCAGATGTCTGTAAGCTTCACCGGTGATCCGCTGAATTAGTGAGGCTACAGTCAAAGCCTCTTCTGCATTGTCACCATCAGGTTGTGCATCTTGAAAAGAAATACAGTGTAGACCAAAATAAATCTCTCCAGACACTTATATGCTATAGAATTAGGGTGGAAATCTAAAATTTCAATCACAAACTATTATTTTAGATGAATGTTGGACATACCTTCATGTTCTAAGAGGAAATACTTGATTACATGATAGTTGCATAATCGCATCAAGGTATCAAGGTGAAAACCAGACTAATGACACATTTAACTGGCTCATTGACATGAGTGCATGTCAAACTTTCAGTTTCACCTGACTCTATACCTGCTTTTGTTCCTGAGGTTCTTCAGCTGTGGCCCTTGAAATGAGGGACATCGGTCGAACCACCAATGAGCAGTAACCACAAACTCAGTTTATATGTTTTTACTACTACAAACTGGATTTTTGTTTGCAATTTGCTCTCAAAACTGTTTTTTTGTTTGCATAATAAAGACACAAATCTACTTTCATACAGCAGGGTCGATAGTAGTTTGAACTAGTTTGAAGATCAAATGACGGCATAACCACATTTACTGAATAGACAAAGAGTCTATAGCTGCTGTATGAGTTATGAATTACTATATAATAAAGGCCCACAGAAGGAAGAGGTCGGGCTGGTTTCAATGGGCCAGCACAATGTTTGCATCGTCAATATTGGCTTGTTGTAACTATGGCAACCATTGTCCCACGAACTTAACCAAAGGACATCATCTTAAATGTCGCCATGGGTTCAGAAAACCCTGACGTGTGTCGTTCATGAGAGTAGTTATTAACGATGAACTCTGTAGTTTTAATTTTTTTATTCAATTTTTAATCTAATCACTAAGAAACCATCTCCATAACAGGTCAAGAGCTGTGGACAGAAGATACAAAAACATAGATGGATAGTAAAAGCGTATGTAATGAGTATTTAATGTGCTTTCTCAATTTAAAAAAAAAAAAACATCCTGCAATGTAAGCTGATGTTTTGAGCTGCAAAAATATGCCAATCACTTAAACAGGATTCCTGTACGATGATGACAGCTAAATTAAGGCTTCTGATAAGAAATGCACTTTTTACATCAGTAATTTAAAATTAAATTAAATTGCGTCTGCTTAATATTCAAGTTAAGCCTTTCCTTTCCATTTAAGCAAGTGAATTGGTGATCAGTCACACACAAACACACACTCTTAGAAAACCCTCCCAGATTGACATTTTGTGACTCGTACGTGTTCTACATCCAGCTGCACTCGTGATGAAGAGGTTTGTGCATCGCGCTTTCTGGAGCTCGAGGAACAGTCGATATTCCAGTGAAACGCACAGCGGGAACATGATAATCGTGTACCGCTCTCTCATTCTGTTTCACCGCGAGTTACAGTATTACTGGGGAAAAAAGTAAAATTACAACATGGCACTGAGACCAGTGTTACGAGTGAGGGAGAAAAACAACAGCCCTCACAGGGTGTACCAGCACTCTCCAGTTACTGTGTATAGATTTAACGAGAAAAAAGCCAGACAATTGCTGACATTTGATGATGAGTAGTGTACTGTAATAATGTGTTTTTCTAAGAAACTATCTGCACCAGTACTTTGACTCACGGGTTACTGGGAATTGGGTGTCAACTGAAACTCCAAAACCAAGTAGCATTGAAACTTTTTGTTTCAACACATATTTTGACCTAATATTTTTTTTTTTTTCCGTGACAAATTTCGACCTAACATATTTTGACATTTTTTTTAAAACAAATGTTTCCTTTTTTAAAACGTTTTTCGAAGTAATAGTTTTTGAATTTTTTTTCCATAACATTTTTGTACTAGGGCGGCACGGTGGCGTGGTGGTCAGCACTGTTGCCTCACAGCAAGAAGGACCTGGGTTCGATTCCACCCAGTGGCCTTTCTGTGTGGAGTCTGCATGTTCTCCCCGTGTCTGCGTGGGTTCTCTCCGGGTTCTCTGGCTTCCTCCCACAGTCCAAAGACATGCTCTGGGGATCAGGTTAATTGGTGACTTTAAATTGCCCGTAGAATGAATGTGAGTGTGAATGGTTGTGTGTCTCTGTGTCGCCCTGCGATTGGCTGGCGACTAATCCAGGATGTACCCTGTCTATCGCCCGAAGTTGGCTGGGATGGACTCCAGCCCCCCCGCGACCCTGTGTGTAGGATAAGCGGTTTGACGATGGATGGATGGATGGATTTTTGTACTACACATATTTTAACTTCTATCTATCTTTTGACCTAGTACTTTTTGGCTTTTCTTTTGAAATATTTTGTACCTTTTTTGTAGGAAGAAATTGGAATTTTTTTCAAAACCTTTTTTCTACATTTCTAATGGTACCTTGTTACCATCTACCTGCCTGCTGGATCTACTGCTTTATGTAGACTTTTAGTTCATATCCCTGAATTGCTTCTACTGGTCACTTACACACCATAATAGACTTCCTGTATACCAGGAAACATTAACCACTGTAAGTATGCGCATATCTGCACGTGTGCATCATTTAGTATGCGTCTGTATGTAGCATGCGTTCTCGGATGTCGGCAGAGCCTCATCTCCTCTGGAAATGTGTGATAACGAAAATGATAAAGAGCACGAAGCAGTTAGAGCCATAATTGCCTTTTATTCAATCAATGAATTTATGCGACCTGCAATTCCGTGGCATTTGTGTCGTTTTGCCCCTGCAGAAAAGATGGGCCAGTAATATTGTGCACGGCAACGGAAAGTTCTTCTTTTTGCATGTGAAAAAACTTTTACAGACTGGGAAATCTCCTCCTTAGAAATTAGAAGTGACGACAATATGGCGAATACTGCCAATTTCATGCACCGTGCAGGAATCGATTTTCTCCAATCTAACATCAATTCATGGTGACACAAGAGGAAAAGTTGGGGGGACAAGCAAAATCAACTAAATACGGTGGCCTGTGATAAGTGAGTGCAGTAAGATCATAATCTCATTGTCATAGTCGTACCAAACTGACAGAAATGTTAAGTATCATCAACATAGTACAACTTGTAATTAGTGGGAACTGTATTTCAAACCACAGCTTTTAAGCACCCTTATCGGCGCAGTAATTAGCAATGTCCTGACTAGCGTAATTGGAGCGATGCAGACCCTGAACAGCACGAATGACTGGATGATGATTTAATTAGTGAGCGTACTGACCAAGAACATGACCAATAACCCTTGGGCAACGTTGCGATTCATCAACCAGACGTCTCCCTTTGGCTGCTCCTCGTTCAGGCGGAGCCTTGTCCCATCAAGGTCGCTCCTAGAAGGGGGCTATAAAGCAGCCGTTCTGGCAGGATTGATGGGGATAGGTCACCAGGGTGGCAGAGGTGGCCCACCAGATGCCTGTTATTACAGTAAATTGATGGTGGATGGTTTCTGCGTCAAAGGACCAGGAACACGCATGGGGTCGTAAAAATATCAAATCCCACGATGTCAGATTGTGTCATGTGGCTCAAGCTCACTTCCAACCCAGACAGAAGCCAATCACCACAAAATCCTGCTCTCAACAGCGTTCTTTAGCTCATCGTGTGTGTTCTGTGTCATGTATAGTTATAGCTATCCAACCATTATCTTCCACTTATCCTGGGCTGGTTGCCGGGGCAGAACGTTAAGCACAGGATTCCAAAGGTCCCTGTCCCCGATAACAATGAACAGCTCCTCCCGGGGAACCCTGAGGTGTACGTGAAACCAGTCTTGCATGTTCTGGATCTGGCTCGGTCCTCCTTATTGGTTGGACGTCCCCGGAGAACTTGAAAAGGTCCGGGGACACATTCTGTATGGAGGTCCATACTCCCTCAACTGGCTCTTTTTGGCACGAGGGAGCAACAGCTCAACTCTGACCGCTTGATTGTGGGCATAATACAGATACATATACGGAGTAACTTGGCCATCAATGGAAAATGTACAGATTCAACCGGTTACAATGTCAGATGTTCCACAGAAAATGTATATACGGTCCATTTAAATACATTTTAAACTCTAACACAGTTGCCAAAGTGTCCACTTATATATTATGATGTTGTATGTAAATGTTAAATGAATAATTTAAAGGCAGCAATTGCCTTATATTGTATGGCATTGGGTGAAATTGTAACCCCGGGGAAGAGACTTACTTCTGTAAACACAACGTCTTGATTATTGATCGTGAAGAGAAAACAACTTACTAGATCGGGTTTGCATAAAAATGTTTATTCTGGCAACCCTCAGTAATTACTATGTGATAAACGAGAGTCTGAATGGCCTCCAACTCTACCATCCCGATGGATTTTTCAGAAAAATCATTGAGCCTTATCTCTCCTGGTGTCCCGTTTTCATGTTTACCCGCTGCGTATTAACCTCTGCCGCCATCAGTCCAAACTGCGGCCGTGACCTGAGTGACCGGGTCAGAACAGAACAGGGCGAGTCCCGGAGGCTCGGCCCGGGGGAATCGATGCCAAGATCAGGCCATCATTGATCAGAGGACGAAGACAGCATCACCACTCAGCTACACACGGCAGTTGCGTGAAGCCTAGAATAAGATGTCATCCACGTCCAACACTTGTGTCTTCGTGATGCTTAAACAGGCCGCAAGTAAGACTTGTAG